TGAAATCAACTGGGAATAATATTTGCAAGGGGAGCCGTGTTATTCCTCACAGCAAACACACACATATACGGTATACATCGATGTAGTTCATCCTTCATTTTCGGAAGACGACCATTTCCATCAAGCTTATTGGTTTGGAAAAACAAGTAGGCGGCTCTGGTTGAACATAACTGACTGCTGGTCGTGGAGATGACTAGCTAGAACAATACAAACCGGAATGATATGGCAACAGTAGGGACAGAATATTGGTTCCTGGACTCACCGTACTCTTAAGATGCTACATCCTTGTTTTATCATTCCTCTTTTGTGCATTCTTGATCCAAAAGTAATTGTGGAGACAAAATAGCAAAAAATTATTGACACACACTTTTATAGACTGCAACCTCTAGTGTCAAGTAAGTTTGCAGTCAAGTTAGTTTCAATATGAAATTGTACTTTTATTATTGATGGATTTTATTTTCAATCATTTTATATAGTCACAGAGTGGAAAAGTTAGAAATACATTAATTAAAGTAATAGTGAATTTTATGTAATGCATACTTTGGTGTGTTGCAGATTGGATTAAGATATTGATTCACCTGCTCTAGATATGCAGGTTAATGAGCCTGGTACAACTAGTATTAATAAAGTGAAAGGGCTTGTTATTTAGAGGGACTTTTTAATAGTATCCTGCAATAACCACTGTAAGTACTCTAAATTTAGAGGAATGGATGTTTTTATTAAGCAGCTTTATTTTATAGTACAGTACGTAATATAAAGAAAGCCACTGAGAAATTATGGTACAAACCTCAATGAAAATCTTTCCTTGGAAATAAAAATTAGCCTTTTCAGTTGGCTATGAACAAAGTACCCCAGCAACAACTTAAGAGATAGAAACAATTGACAGTAAATAGACAAAATGCAGAATACGTGCCAACTGCTACTTCCTGAAAGGAAATAAATTTTGGTTCTTAAAAAAATAAGTGCCAATAGCCACATCCTCCTGATATCAACAGAATAACTTTCATCATTATAAATACAGAATTGGAAAAATGAACAGTCTTAGTCAGCAGACTACTGAGTAAAATCTCTCCAGGTTGACTGCATGCAGATTAGAACCAGGACTACAAAGCTGAAGGTGGGAAAATATTCAGAAAATACATCCTGGAGAATAGTGTTTCCCTACATTGGATCCCCATGTTCTTGGACCGCAGCTCCCAAAAATCCTGGCCACCACAACCTGTTGTTGAAGGCTTTGGGGAGTTTTAGCCCAAGAATATCTGGGGACACAAGATTGCAAACTGTTAGCTTAGAAAAATGATTCTCAGCCTTGGCCCCCAGATGTTTTTGGACTAAAACTCTCCAAAGCCTTCACCACTAGCTATACAGACCATGATTTCTAGGAGTTGGGAGCCCTTGCTGTTGAACATTACATAGTGCAACTTCCTTGAACTCTTGCTTCTTCTGGAGAAGAAACTCTGTTCCTAGAAAATGAATACTGTAACCTGGTCCCCTCCCAAAAGAAAAAAGGCTAGCATATTGTTTTCCATATTTTCAGTTCAAGCACATTGTCACAAGAATGCAACAAGGAAGATTCTGTGGCATTCCAGTGCAAGATAAGACTCTGGACATGAAGTGGAAGATCTGGCTTGCCATTTACTGGATTGCTCGTTAGCCAGAGAACATTATTTGCCTCAATTTTTTCACTGTATAAGAAACCAGGTGGCTGAGGACAAACTGAATTTTATGGGGATCTAATCAGTTTGTGCAACAGGGTTGTCTTCTTCATGGTCAAGTGGCCAGTTAAAGAAAATAAGAAAAAAATTGTTTGATTTTAAATCTCTTCTTCAGAGGGGGGATTGAGTCCACAAACATTTTTAATTACATATATATATATTAGGTAATTTTCATGTTTAAATAACCTGTTTTACTATTTAGATACTTATTACTGTTGTTGTTCAGATGTGCTTATTGTATCTGAAATGTTCTGATGACATGTCCAAAAAAGCAATGTCTTTTAAAATACAAATATTTGGAAAATCAGAAGTATTTTAGCTGTTTAACATTGGAGAATGCAACCATCTGAATTCATTATTACAACTGGTACAATGTACCCATATATTTCATTCAATGAAAAACTGCCATATTTCCTGTTTAGCAGAGACACCAGTCTATAAAAAGCAGAAGTCAATTTCTGATTTATAAAAATTTATTTTTTAAATCATACACAACTGGAACTTTGCATTGAAGAGACTGACGTTGACTCCTTCTCTTAAATACCAATATGAGTAAGACAAAATTGCCTCAGGCACTAGATGAGGAGCAAAAGTTGTGATCTCCCTTCTGCAGTCTTATTCAGTGGAATTACCAACATTTTGTCTGTATGTGAATACACATTATTTCTCCTCCCCCTCAGCCTGTTTGTCCATTCTCCCTACCTGCTGCGTTTGTACACCCACCAACATTATGCTACAGTGGCATCACGTTGCTCATCAAAAAAGTGATAATTATAATACAATTTTTCTTTAACACATTGAATTAGTGCAGTAGATCCAAAATGTAAATAATAAAAAAAGATGTAGTTGGTACACCCAAAGCAAGTGAGACGGGTGCAAGGCTAGTTGGTATATGGAATTAAAGAGATACTGATTGGTTATATGTTGAAAAGTAGATTACAAAATAAAGAAGAAAATCAGCTCTCCCCACCCTCTCGCTCCCACGAATACTCATAATTATGGTTTGGTCAAAACAAGGTTTAAAGGCTAGAGGTTTCTCTCAATCTAGCATTAATGCTACGATTTCATTCAGTGGTTTACCTGCATATTCTTTGACCTGCTCTCTAAAAGGCAAGCCTATACCATATCTAAACTTGACTCCTATTGAAAGAATCATGGGAATAGTAATTCTACAACTCACAGCTCTCTTGGCACTTTCCCCAGCCTACAGCTACCAAGATTTCAATAGTTGCAGTGGCTTTGAATCATCACGTAGATGCATCAGAAGCCACACCTTGTCCCAGACGAAGAACGTCTTTCTTCCAAGCAGCTGCAAGCAAAATACAAGGCCGTAAAACCCATCACAAAGTAAAGGCAGAGAAAGAAGAAACGAGAGGCCAAAACACACATCACCACCTACCCATGAAAAGCAGGAAGAGGGTGCCGCAGTTCATTTGTGTTTTTAAAAAGACATGTAAGACTTCTAAAAATAGGATGTCATTATTGATATTGAAGAGGAGCAGCTGGGTTGGTTTTGTTTGTTTTGCACCTCTTGCCATAGTACAAATCAGAAGAGTAAAGAGGGGGAGAGGGGGGGGAATCACAGTAGCCAAGGGAGACTGGGAGAAAAGAAGAGGGGATCCTGGCAGCTGGTCTCCTGTAAGTGCGATGGATCGGTTCAGGCGCATTCCAGTTGGGGCTGCTCAGAGGAGCTGGCAACGATCCCTCAGTTGCTGCAACACTGCCCCCTGCTGGACTGGTTACTCTCTTGAAGGTCGACACCTCGATTTCTGCCCGCTGCCCCTGCTGCACTCTGTGGTTCATTTTTGGGGAGTTTCTTAGCTAAGGGGGGAACAGAGAAGAGAGAAAGAGAGGGCACACTTAGGAGGCCATATAGTGAATGGACGCTTGAATAAAGCATGAAAAAGTTGCAGTGCCTTCTCACACTAGGTTCATCCCAATGCCCACACCATCTAATGCCCCTATTCCTGGTAACCTGAAGGCTTGCATCCCAAGATCCAGCCAGCTGTTCTACAGTGGTGTAGGCATGCAGCTGGCCCTCCTCACTTTCTTGAAATGACTTGCTTACCCAGTCACAGACTCTTTCATCTGATCCCTTTGCTCACCTTCCCCTCCCTTTAATGCCTTGGCACATTGCTTAGTCCATGGCTGGAAAATCTTAGCCCATCCTGATGTTTTACATTTCAGCTCCTGTAATCTTTTGTTGTTGGACTTTCTGACTGGGTCCTCTGGGAGTTTTTAAGCCTAAACACTCAGAGAGCCAAAGGTTCTCTCTGATTGCCCTTCTCTGTACAAAGATCAGCTTTCACATCATGGGACCTCATCCCTCTCAGCTTCCCGAGGTGCGGCACCTACTCTGCACTGCTGACAAAACTATATAGCAACTCCTGCACTTATCCCTGGGATTTCCTTCATATTTTTTCAGCTGCCTTCCCAAAAAAGTGAGGAATGCTTAAAAATCCAGGACTTTTTAACACGTTAACATCGTGAGTAGTTCTCAGTCTAGGGCAGCATTGGAAAACGGCCAGGATACACTGCTACCTTTTTCTTACTAGGAACTAACCTATTGCCATGAAGGTTTCATTCACATTCATTGCTGTCTTTGCTGATGTCTCCATAAACAGCAAGCTGTTATCTTCTGCATACGTCTGGGCCTCCTGCAAGGAAACAGACAAACGAAAGTCTTATGGTGCCTGTAAGACTAATATATAAGAGTTTGCATGGCTTACAATCTATTTCTTCAGTAAGGTAAGAAGCAGTATGGAGCCTCCTTTTGCTGGTCTAACTAGTGCTTTCTAGAGATGGCTCAACCAGTGTTCAGTGCTTCCCAGCCCCACCTCCTCCCCACTCAAGAGCCAAGGCCAAGAAGCTGGGCTGGAAAGCCTCAAACACCTGTTTGGCCATCTCTAGAATTAGACCTGTTTGACCAAAAAATGGATCAGTACGAACCACCAAGCTGGTGATTCTGCCTATCTCTAATGTTTTCTGTTCCTAAGTACCATTTACTGGAATGGAGAACATGGCAAAATGGTGTCCTTCTTTTAAGTGTTAAGTTCTTTTAATGTTACGTTACATTCTAGTGAATTAATATCAAGAAGCAGAGTGACCATAAAATAAAGCCAATTAAATTCTTGACTAAATTTACACAACCTATCAACAATTCCCAAGATCACTGAGCATCTAAGTCTAGGGTGGGTGGACAATTGGCCCTCCAAATGTTTCAAATTTCTGCAGTGCTCATCAGCTCTAACCAGCACAACCAATAAGGAGCTGCTGAACAGTAGCCTCTGGAGGGCCAAATCCTCTTCCTCTCTGCTTCATGCTCAAACACTTCACACACATACTTACTACTACTCTGAAAGGTCAATACTGGCATTCTAATACTGCAAAGCGGCAGCAGAGTGAACAGCTACTTATACAATTATGGCTATGGCTCCACACCGATTTATTACATTCAACAATTTTGTACAGAGACATGCTGGCTTGAATGCAAGACAAAACATAACAAATCAAGTCAGTTAACATCTTATGTAACTCTTTCTGAATGTCGTGGGCAACAATCTTGTTGTAAGAATCTAACAACCTTGTTAAGGCAATCAGTACAGTACTATCCACAAAGTACAGTGGTTCCTCGACTTAAGAACTTAATCCATATTGGGACTGCATTCTTAAGTCGAAATGTTCATAAATCGAAGAACCATTTCCCATAGGAATGCATTGAAAACCATTTAATCCGTATCTGCTGTTTTTCGTTCTTAAGTCGAGGCGCTGTTCTTAAGTCCTATGGGAACTAATGCAAAGCTGGTTAATCCATATCTACCACTAGGGGGTGATTTTTTAAATTTTTTTCTTCTTTTGACCTAAGGTGAACTTAGGTAAAAAAAAGGGCAGGAAAGGTTTTGTTTTGTTCTTTGATTCTTAAGTCGAGGCTCCATTTTCAAGTTGAAGCAACTTTTTGTGAACGGAGACGTTCTTAACACGAAGTGTTCTTATGTAGGGACGTTCTCAAGTTGAGGTACCGCTGTCCAGATTTGGGAAGAAACCAAAGTAAACTGAACCACTTAAAAATGTGGTACCTCTTGCCTTGAGATCTAGATTAGTACAAGAACTATTTTCTGTATGTTATTTTCAATTTTTGGGAGACTTTCCTTCCACACAGATGCTCAAAAGAAGGCAAGATTATTCCTTTACACAAAAATGGAAGATGAAACCCAGGGTGTTACTGGAGTACCCACTAATGACATCTGAAGATTTGGAGATTTAGGGAGACTGTAAAATTTCTTAGCACACACACTTATCTTAGCATGCCTTGGCTATTTTGTTCCACTCCTTTATCATCTCCATACAATGACCTAAAAAAAGGATATTCAATTTATAGCCAACTTTGGGAATTAGTAACATTGATCTCTCTGGTAAATCTGAGTCTTGAGGTTTTGGTGGAGTAGGCAGCTTGATCCTAAGGATAATACTTTGAAGCTTTGGGGTGATGATGGTAATGACAGTTTCCAAGCCAAAAAACTAGACTTACCTGGAAGTCAACAGCTCGCTTGCTGCCCAAATCAGCCTTGTTTCCTGCCAGGGCAATGACTATGTTCGAGCTGGCTTGTCTCTGAAGTTCCTTCACCCAGTTCTTGGCTCGCACAAAAGTGTCCTATAAAAAGAAAGCAGGGAAAAAGAAAGAGTTATGCTGGCATTTTACTATCAGGAGTCCTAATTCTGGCCCACTGGAATGCCAATATAAACTTGTCCCTACTTTAACAGGTAAAATGTCACTGGAAAGCTCACATAATGCCCATTCCTAATTGTAGAGCATCCCCACATCAAGTAATTTAAAATGTACTACACGACTTCTTATGTACCTCTATGGATAGATATTAAAAATTATGGTGGCACTATTAAATAACTAGACTGGTTTCAATGCTGTTTTGATTTTGCTTGTTCAGGACAGGCCAAATCCAAATTAGATCTGTTTTCAAAGATTCAAGTCTTATAACATTTATAATTTTTGTTGCTGCACAGTTTTATATATTAAAGGAACAGGACAGATAATATCAGATTTGACAACTTCATGCTTAAAGAACATTGAACATGGACAGTAAACTATTGGTTGTCAGGACCAATGTTAAGAGTGTGCCACATATGCTTTACATTTACACAAAACTCTTCCAAAGGTTGACATTAAAGGGAATAGTTAGCTTCTGATTTTTTTAAGCTTCTTTAAGAACTATGTAATGCAAGCTTTCATGCCAGAGTGTTCTAGGTGATCCTAATAAGTAGTATTTTATAGTCTTGATATTTGCAAGGTACTAACAGCTACCTCTTTGTCCTAGCCTTTCAGCAAGTGGTTGCATTCACACACATTAGGCCGAACATAATTTATTAACACAGAGAAAAGCAGGAAGGAGACTGCATCAAGTGCTGGCTTCTTGTGCATTCTCTCCCATGTGACTAGGAAGAGAAATAATTCTGAGTTACATGCAAACTACTAATAATGATGTAAAACAAACTCTAGTTTATTAAACAAGCCAGTAAAACAATTATTCAGCATCTGGCTAGGTTTTATTCTAAACCAGGATTCCTGGTTCACCTGAAAGAAAACATTATGACAGGAATCTGAATAAAACTGAATTCTGGTTTATTTCTTGCACAGGAGCAGGGAGAGTGAAAGGGGGCAAAATGTTTCATGCTACTCCTCCTTCCTGGCACACATAGTGCTCAACCAGGGATAGGAAACATATAGCATTTTAATGTTTTTATTTTTTGTTACTGGACTGCACTTCCATCCACCCTTGCCAGCAGAGGCAATGAGTTGAGGCATATTCAGCCCAAATAATAATTGGAGGCCCGGAGGCTCCTCAATCTTGCACTAAATCATCCTTGTCCTCTCCTGAAGAGAATCTTTCTGTATGGAATGTCGCATAATTAAGATCATGCTACACTGAAATGGCACACACAGAACTTAACAGTGCAATGGAGCTCAAGAAGATTTGTTTACAATGGTATTTATATTGCAATAAATACATTCATCCAACCCTAGAACATTGCACCTTTGATGCAACGAGGACCAGAAAAATGCTCTTAAGCAACATTATATTCAAGTACAAATACAAATCCTCACCATGTTGGTGATGTCATAAACAACAATAGCTGCTTGTGCACCCCGATAATACATGGGTGCCAAACTGTGGTAACGTTCCTGCCCAGCTGTATCCCATATCTCAAACTTGACTGTTGTGTCATCTAGGCAGATGGTCTGTGTGAGGAAAGCAGCTGGAAATGAAGAACATAGGAAAGTTACAGCAAAAGGGAGCAAAATGCAGACTTGAGTTCCAATCTGATTTGAATATATTTTACAGAGAAACTCTTCTTTCACCTGTATCGTCTCAGAGCCACTTAAAAATATATACAGTAGATATATTATCTACTATGCTCACCAAAATCAAGTTAAACATGCCATGTTTAGATGGCCATGGCAGCCAAAGAGGCATGCCAGGAGCTGCTCCGGCATTTGTTTAACTTCTCTCTGCTAGACTGAGAACATTCGCTCCCAAACTTGATGTTTGTTCTTCTCCGTGGGATATGTGAAGAAACTCCAGTCTGTGATTAGCTTCAACAAATATCTGTGGTAGATATCATTACTAGAATTCAGGATTGCTCAAGAAATGTTTTTATTATTTTTCTTATGCTTTTCTGTTTATTCTTAGTCTTAAACTATAAACCGATTTTTCCCCTGTTACAAGGGGTTAGACAATGGCAAAGCAAAGGTAGAAAGGCACGAACATTTCTCAAAGATGAAACAGGGGACACAATGCTAAAAATGCTGGGAACCATGGCTGTAGAAGAACTCAAAAACCTTCCTCTTTGGACTGACAACCCAACAATAAAGATTAGGCAAGTGTGGGTAAGAAACTCGGTCTTAAGCTGCAGTACCTTTCTCATGTTTGATTTAGAAACCTGTTTTTGCCCACCTTAAAGAAGTCTACCCTTACCCTGAAGAAGAGGCAAGGCTAAACAAAATTTTTAAAAAAAGGAATATAAGGTTGTTTGGATGAAGTGAAGCAAGCAGGGCCCTCTGGCCCTTTACATGCTTCAGTCTACAATCCCCAGTCTTCTGTCAATGTTCATAGGTGGGAACCGATGGAAACAATGTCAGGAAAGCCAATAGTTCCTCATGGCTTAACCAGACCTGACACAGATACACTGCTGAACTGAGGCAGGTTTCACTTGTGCCAACTGTTCATCCCCTTCTAAGGGCTCAGGAGAGCAAGGCCTAAGGTGACTTTTGCGTGCAAGAGCAGTGGTTAGTTTAATCAACAGCTCAGTTCCCCGGCACACCACATAGAGAATGACCAAGCCAGATCATGGGCCAGCCAGCTCTTATGCAGCCTTTGTTCTCTTCAGATTCTTCAATTCTACAGAATGAAACACGACTTGACACTGCTAATTTAAGACACAGCAAAAAATGCTCAATTTGTTGAACCTGTTCAGGCCCAGCACTTGACAGAGGGGAAATTATAAGAGGTGATAGAAGAAGTGCTACAGCCTTAGCGTCTGACGAGCCTCTCTGCTCAAGGCAAAGAGACTTTGCCAAAATGACATATCTGCGTGGCTATGCACACGCACTGACTTTTCATCCTATCTGATGTTTCACTCACTGGAGTTCCATCAGAGTTCTGAAAAGTCTACAAGGTACTGTTGAAAACAAATTAACACTGGTATCCCCCAGAATAAAGGTAAGGCACCTATGCTTCTCCAGATGTTGCTGGATTAGAAATGCCATGGTCAGTATTGAGGGATGAGGGGAGGAATACAAGTTCCCCTCCCCTGCCTTAGAGATATTAATTAATTAGATTTATATACTGCCCCCCTTAATGTAAGCACTACTTTGGGCACTTTATAGGTTAAAACCTAGAACCTCACAAGACCCGACATAACAATACATTCCACAAAATGCTGATTTACATCTATAGGTCTAAAATTCTTACAAAAAGAGAAAGAAAAAAGTGCTCGTTATATATAACACTTCAAGCACTCTCTGGGTGGTTTACAAGTTGCCCACCCCTTCAGCAAGCTGAGTACTCATTTTACCAACCTCGGAAGGCTAGAAGGCTGAGTAAACCTTGAGCCAGCTACCCAGGATTGAACTCCGGGTCACGAGCAGTTTCGGTTTAACCACTGCGCCACGAGGCTTTCTGCCACGTTACCTTCATCTGAAAATATTAATATGCTGAGAAACAGTATTGGGAAAACAGAAGTCTTGGGAGTGGTAATCTGTTGACAAACTTTGAGAACTCTTCCTCAGTAGTGGAAGGAGGTTTCTCTAAAGCAAGGATGGGGATAATGGGGTTCTTCAGATTCTCCTGGACTACAACTGCCACGATCCCTTAACATTAGCTATGCTAGGGCTGATGGGAGATGTGGCCTAACATCTGGAGAGCTACGCGTGTGTGGGGAAGAGGCAGGCGCCTGTGTCCTTCCAGATGTTTAGCCTGCAACTTCCTGAATCCTTCACACCTGGATGTGCTGGCTGAGTCTGAGGGAAGATGCAGTCCAATAGCATTTGCAGGCTCAGAGTGGACCACTTCTAGACAGGGTGCAAAGCACAACAGACGCAGCTACTGGCCCACAATGAAATGAAAAAGGTCCCAAGAATAGTTTCTCAAAATCCTTTGTGACATGTTAGAATGGAAGAACTTCCCAATGATGGAAAGACTGCAGACAACCACGGTAGGTAAGCCTCTGACGAGACCAACTATTGTCACTAACTTAACCTACAACGGGCTCTAAACCAATACTTACCCCCAATAGTGCTTTCCTGGTACTCATGAAACTGTCCTTTTACGAAGCGCAACACAAGGCTGGACTTTCCGACGGCCGACTCTCCCAGAAGCACCAGTTTGAACTGACAGATCTTATTTGCTGCAGCTGGTCCATTTGGTCTTGCAGCTCCACCGCGGCCTGCCATAGCCTGTTACGAGGATCTCAAGCTCCTAGGAGGAGGAGGAGGAGGCAAGGCTTCCCAATTGGCTAGAATATCCAATTGCCAGCTGAAAGAAAATGGACATCTCAGCGACACAAGAGCCAGTTTTGATGTAGCAGAGCTTAGTGACTGGATGTGAAGCTTTATTTCTTCTACAGATCTTTTTAGATAGTCTTGGACAATATTGAGGAAAGAGGCTGTTTTATCTCAACTCCCCGAATTCCCTGACCAGCAGGATCAACAAAATTCTGGGAGTGGACGTTCAGACAAATCATTTCTCCGAGTTCTTAGCTTGGACAAAAAGCTCTTTAGTTATGGGACCAATATCGCCTTACCCAAGAGGATTACTGCAAGACCTAATCTAGATTGCAAAATCCTAAACGAGACTGGTGATATGCAGTATGCCACTAACAAGACTTCTATAAAAAGCTCTTTAGTTATGGGACCAATATCACCTTACCCAAGAGGATTACTGCAGGACCTAATCTAGATTGCAGACTAAATGAGACTGGTGATACGCAGTATGCCACTAACAAGACTTCTACCGATTCAACCAGATTGAGAGGTGGTTTAGCATAGTGAGGGATGTGGTGGCGCTGTGGGCTAAACCGCAGAAGCCTGTGCTGCAGGGTCAGAAGATGAGCAGTCGTAAGACTGAATCCACACGATGGGGTGAGCTCCCGTCGCCTTGTCCCAGCTCCTCACCAGCCTAGCAGTTCAAAAGCATGTAAATGCGAGTAGATAAATAGGTACCACCTCGGTGGGAAGGTAAAACGGCACTCCCTAGTCACGCTGGCCACGTGACAATGGAAACTGTCTTCGGACAAGCACTGGCTCTACGGCTTGAAAAACAGGATGAGCACAGCCCCCTAGAGTTGGACACAACTGGGCTAAAAATGTCGGGGGGAACCTTTACCTTTAGCATAGTGACTAAAGGAGAAACTTGTAAACCAGAAAGTCATGACTTTTACCAGTGATTGTAGCCACACCCATTTCTCACCTGCTGCCCCTTCTTTCATGCAGCATCTTCAACAAATAATAACCACTTGTTACTCTCAGAATGTGGAAAACATTTTTTTTAAAAAAAACCTCTGACTTCTAAAATCCTCCAAGCAAAATGGCCACTAGATATGCTGACCAGTTTCTAGGGGTCAGAGTCCAAAAAAGTAACTTTTCTAGATACTTATCCTAAGAAGTTCTGAACTATATAAATATTAAACATCATTAGGACTACCTGATCTTTGGACAAGTCATTCAGTGTTTTGCCATTTACAATGCTCATTTCCATAACAGCAAATAAGAAGTGAAAGAGAAACAATCCACGATAATCATTAGACTTTGGTAAAAAAAAAAAACTTGACAATCTGTGAACAATCAGTGTTGACTTCCTTGTGGCATTATGAGTAAGCTGTCAATTGTTTCTGGCAGGAAGTGCCAGAGACATCCTAAAAGCAGGGGTGGGAGACCATGTGGACTTCCAGATGTTACTAAGCCAATTCCCATCAACCTAATGATCTACTTCTGGAGAACAAGTTTTCCCCCCACTTCTGATATTGAATATAATATATTGAATATAATATTGATATTGAATACAATACATTGTATAATGGTATTTGCGAAGTTATAATTTAAATCCATATCACTGTAATGAAAGTCATTAGATTCAGTTTTAAAAAAATAAATATTGATGCTATAAAAAGTCATATTATCAATTGAATGAATAGAAGCTGAAATGGGGAATGGGAAGGTCAATGCATGGAATGTGAAAAAACATACGTATTAGAGATGCAAGATTGTTTTGTAGCTGGACCCTGAATTGCTTTGCTGGCCTCCACACTGTTCTAGAGCAGTAAAGGTGAGGGACAAACAAGGCACCAGATGAGGACTGTGGCTTCAGGCCATATGCTCAGTCAGGTCCCTGGCTTACATTTAAATCCCTTTTCATAATTAAAAGGAAGATAAAAGGGAAAGGGGCACAGCCTACAGAAAGGATCACAGCTTTGGCCCTGGCAAATGTTTTCTTCAGACTACAACTCTCATGAGCCCTGATCAGCCATACCACCTATGGTTAATGGAAATTGTAGTCCAACAACATATTACACATCATATATTACATGTTCTCAGCTCTTGCTTTGTGGCCACACAAACAGTTCTTGAGAAAATAACATTAAGAAGCCATGGTGCACAAATATTTCATATGGAATTCAACCACCTCTAGCGCCCATCCAGTCAGTAATAGCGAAGAAGTAAAATAAAATAAAGTAAAACAAAACAAAAATCAATGGGAAATTAAAGAAAACTAAACTGAGTTAAACAAACACTTATGAGACCAGGTTCACATGATGATGGCTAATTTAAAGGATAAAAATTCTGTATCTTAAAATTTATATACAACCAAGATACAGTACTGAACCAAAACTATCTGTGCCCTCCAGGCTTACAATAATCTATAAATATTAGAGGATATTGAGGGCTGGCTGGTGATAGCTGCTTCTGAGAGTGACAATAAATGGTTGTGTTGGGTTAGTAGGAAACCAGAGGACAGAGGAGGGACTATATTGATTCTTACAGAATACTGTACCTGGTATGGAGAAGCTTCGTTCCTATTAATGTTTTTTTTTAAAAAAAATGTTGACCTTTAATAAAAGCTTAGTTTAGTTCACACGCATCATATTGGTATTCTTACAACCTTACAAAAATGGACCAATGTTATCCATATACTAGAGTGGAGATAGGCGGGATAGAAATAAAATAAATAAATAAAATAAATAAATATACAAGAGTGGGATAAAAATAAAATTGGGAAATAGATCCTTTCGAAATAATAACCAACGGGGTAATGGAAGGTAAGAAATTTTAAACTAAGATCTAATACCACTATGTATAACTCACTGTATAACTGCTATGATAAGTTACAAGTGGCTCCTTTCAAGAAAGAGTTCATCTATCAAACATAATGATCATGAAACAATGGACTGGGCACCTGTTCCTATAAAATTAATGGGTTTTCACTGTTCTGTTGGGTTTTGTTCAACCAGAATATTTTGCCAAAGATGAGAGAAGGGCATGAAAAATTAAATAGTTATTGACTCCTAATATGGCTGCTTGTAAGGCTTAACCAAATAATTTCTGCCAGATCTGTCCAATTTTTGCAAAGTGAACCAATTATGCTTAACTATAATCCCTGAGTAGAGCAAAAAAAAAAAAAATCTTGCATATCGAAATCTAGTCCACAGCCTACGTCTACATTGACTCAGGAATGTCATGAGAATGGCTGATGGTTGGATTCAAAAAGATCTACAGTATGGAGAATTAGTGCAGGAAAAGGGCCCCAGAGGGAGACCACAGCTGCGATACAAGGATATCTGCAAGCGGGATCTGAAGGCCTTAGGAATGGACCTCAACAGATGGGAAACCTTGACATCTGAGCGTTCAGCCTGGCCTCTCCCAATTTGAACAGACACTTGTTCAGGAGGCCGAGGCAAAGAGGCAGTCCCCAAACCAGCAAAATCAGGGAGCTGGACAGGGGATAGGTTGTATTTGTCTTGAGTGGGGAAGGGATTGTCACTCTCGAATTGGCTTTCTCAGCCACACCAGACGCTGTTCGAAGACCTCCATATGCAGAGCATGTTACCATAGTCTCTGGAGACTGAAGGATGCCTACAAGTCCACAGCCTAAAAGCTCTGCCTGCCAGCTTTCTGCCTGACACAGCTGTTAAAGTCAACGGAACTTTATTAAAATGTGAAGCAGCAGCAATGCCAGTAGAGTGCAACACCAACCCAGAACACTACTATCCCTGCAAAGAAAAATGGTTCCGTTTAAATACTGTACACGCATTTATATTGTACACGTTTCTTTGTAACCATTCATTTCCTACGATCTTTGCACCAAACTTTCATTGCCACAGCTTAGAGTATAAGCTCCTTGAGGGAAGAATCACATTTTTGTTTGTTCCCTATATATACCACATACAGCAGCAAAACCTGGTAAACCACCATACCCAACCAGACAAGAAAACCCACACGCACGCACAATCCTGCGGACCAGACCAGGGGGTCCTTTGGCCCTGCATCTTATCCCCTGTTGTGGCAAAGCAAATGCCTCCAACAAACCCAGAAGGAGGGAACGAAGCCAATCAATCCCACCTGCCCTGTTTGCTCCCAGCAAGAAGTCCTGAGAGGTACACTGCCCCTAAACATGGAGGCTCCCTTTCGCCTGCCACGCCCATGGAGCCCCGCCTCGCAGCAATGCCCATCTAAGAAGGAGGCAAAAATTCTGGACTCCCCCGAAAGGGAGCAGGCAACCCTCTCTCTTCTCCCCCGTGAAGACAAGACAGCTTGCGCCTCCCCAGCCCACCCCACAACGGGGCTGGGTCCCCTCATTCTCTCGCAAAACCTGCCCCGCAAGCCTTCACTCACCCGCTCCCGCCTGCGGGACCGTCGCCTCCGCTCCCGCCACGACCTGTCTTCCTCCTACTCGGTATCCCCTTTACTCCGACTCCAAATCTCAATCAGCGCCACTTCCGCCCTCGGCTCCTTCCCAGCTTCTTCCGCTTCCTCTAAGGGCTCCTTGGTTTGGGAGAGTGGTTTCTTGTTTTTTTTTCTACTTCCGCTCGCCGCCCCACAGGCTGCTCTGTCCACCAATGGAGAAGAAGAATTCAATAGCCCCGCCTCGCTATTGGAGTTCCTTTGGAGTGACGTCAAGTTATAGGAAGCGTCGGGTTGGGGACGGTGCCTCCAATCAGGCTGGTCCATCCTTGGTGGACCCAGGGACGTTGGTGGGCTTCTTAGGATTTCTTGCTCGTGGACAAACAGCGGTAGTGGGCATTCCTTGGTTTCGTTCCCTGGTTCTATGCTTCCAGGGGACATCTGGTTCCTCTCTGTTGGGAGCAGGATGTCGGCCTTAATTAAGTCTTCATGTGATCCAGGAAGATTACTCTTAATTGAGTCGCTGTAACAGTTACCAAGAATATGTCTGAAGAAGTGATTTTTTTATCTACATAAGCAGACACTGAAATAAATTTGCTAGAGTTTAAATTGCTACAATATTTCCCCCTTTAATTTTTCCTCTATTGCCAATATGCTAAAAAATCACTCCCTCTCAATCTTGTGTGTGATGTGCCATGAAAACTAACATTAAGATATGATAGTCTGTTAGGTGCCACATGTTTTTGTTTTGTTTCTTTGAATTTTGTGTGATATGCTTGCACAGACTTAACAGGGCTACCTCTTCTAAAACTACAACTCCTATTGAGTTTATCTGTGTATTTTTAGTAATCTAACAGTGACTTTGGACTCTCAAAGCATTTCTCCTGTCTATCAACTTTCTGTAAATTATGAAAAGAAACTTATACAGTAAATGTCCTTTGGAAGAAGAGAGCATTTATATCATGGCAAGATCAAAGTTCTTTGATAAGAATAATTGGTAGGGTTTAAGCTAGGAAGGGTTGAGAACTGCTGGATTATTGTAGGCAACATGCCTTTTTAAGGGGCAGTTACAGTTAGGTCCAAAAATAATTGGACATTGGCACAATTTTCATAATTCTGGTTCTATGCCACCACAATGGATTTGAAATGAAACAACCTAGATGCAACTGAAGTGCAGGCTTTCATCTTTAATTCAAGGGGTTGAACAAAAATACCGTAATGAAACGTTTAATTATTGTAACCATTTCATACACAGTCCTCTTCCTAAATGGGCTAATATGTAATTGGACAAATTAACATAGTCATATAGCCATAAATAATATTTTGATTTTTAATACTGTACAGTAATTTGTTCAGGATCCTTTGCAGGCAATGACTGCTTGTAAGTCTGGAACGCAAGGACCTGACCAAACACTGCATTTCCTCTTTTGTGATGCCTTGCCAGGTCTTTGCTGCAGTTGTCCTCAGTTGTTTGTTTGTGGGTCTTTCTGCCTTAAGTTTTGTCTTCAGCAAGTGAAATGCATGTTCAATCGAGTTGAGATCAGGTGATTGGCTCAGCTGTTGCAGAGTATTCTACTTCTTTACTTAAAAAAAACAACTGGATTGTTTTCACAGTATGTTTTGGGTCACTGTCCATCTGTAAAGTGAAGCGCCATCCAATCAACTTCTCTGATTTTGTCTGACTCTCAGTAGACAATATATCTCTATATGTTTCAGAATTCTTCCAGCTGCTTCTGTCACATCATCAATAAACACTAATGACCCAGTGCCATTGGAAGCCATGCATGTCCACGCCACCACACTGTCTCCAATGTGTTTTACAGATGATGTGGTATGCTTTTTATCATGAGCCGTTCCAAGCCTTCTATCTTCTGGTACAGGTTGATCTTCGTCTCATCTGTCCAAAGAATGCTGTCCCAGAAATGGGCTGGCTTTTAAAGATTTTTTTTGGCAAAGTATAATCGGGGCTTTCTGTTCTTGAAGCTTATGCATGGTTTGCACCTCATGGTGAACCCTATGTACAGTATTTGCTCTCGCAAATATGGCAGACCTGGATAATGATACCTTCTGAAGAGTGTTCTTCACTTGGCTGGTTGTTTTGAAGGGGTTTTTCCTTACCATGGAAATGATCATACGATCGTCCACCACTGTTGTCTTCCATGGATGTCCCAACCTTTTAGTGTTGCAGAGCTCACAAGTACATTCTCTTTTTCTCTCTGAATGTACCAAAATGTTGATTTCGCCACTCCTAATGTTCTTGCTATCTCTTTGATGGATTTCTTTTTTTCTGTCTTTTTTTAAACAGCAACACCTCCAAATGTGAATGCCACACCCGAAATCAACCCCAGACCTTTTACCTGCTTCATTGATGATGAAATAACAAAGGAATAGGCCACACCTATCTTTTGAGTCAATTGTCCAATTTCTTTTTGTTCCTTGAAAAAGAGGGGGCTATATATTAAAGAGCTGTAATTCCTGACCCTTTGTCATATTTCGATGTGAATACCCTCAAGTTACAGCTGAGAGACTGTACTTTAAACCTGCATTAATTATTTAACTGTAACCATTTATTTTGGTAAATAGATGAAATAACAAAACTTGTGTTAGTGTCCAGTTACTTCCAGACCTAACTGTATTTAGTCTGTCCCAGCAAAAGCAGAATCCTGACTAAATGTTAAACACCAGGTATATGAGGAAGAGGTTGAGATCCACGAAAGTTTAACTTGAAGTCAATTTTGCATTCAAACAGAAGCAACATATTTTTCCTCCTAACATATTTCCTACATATGTCAACTCCAGTGAAAGTCCCACTGAGTCTAATGGGGTTTGTTACTAGATATTGTAGAATTGCATCCTGTTTATTAGGGTGATGTTGTTTGTTTTTTTCCTGCATATAACTAAACACAAACTTTCCCCTTCCTTCTCACTCCCACCAATTATTCAAAAGCCAAATAAACACAGGTATGCAATTTCCTATGTATATCTGACATAGCCAGATAATATACGTATTGTCCAAACAGCTATAACCAATTGATTGATTTATTTGCTGTCTTTAAATGCCCCCGCCCCCCAACAATGCATCCTAACTGTTGCATCTTCACTATCAGGTCCACCACGTTTACCCCATGGAATCATGAAGTGTCTTTACTTTTAAACAAGTCATGCCCAACAGGTGTCTTGTTAATAGGCATAGCTATGTTTCCAAAAGCCTCCTCAGTGTGTGATTATGTTTGGAAACAGGCAAACAGCAAATAATTAAGTTTAAATGACACATCAGGTTACCCTGCTTAGAGGTGAGCAAAGTGCAGCCAGTGTTCTACAAATGTCTTTCTTGGCACCTAGATTAAAAAAAAATTAGTGACAAACTGGTAGCACTTTTCACATAATACCTACAACCTCGCAAAATCAAGAACAGAATTGAACATTTGTGGTTTTTCAATTACGATTTTATAAAAATTAAATATGTATATATCTTTCAAAAACACTTTTTAATATTATGTAAACTTTTTTTTGACATTTCAGGATCTGCTGTTGCAGGCAAAAGCCTGACCCTCAGATTTGCCTAAGTTCTTCACCTTGCCCTTCCTGTTAATTTTTGGATCATCATGTCTGACAAATGGTTTTGGAGGATTGGAAAGCTTGCATGAAACTTGCACTACTTTGGTGGTCCTAACGTTACTGCATTTTGTTTTTACTGATGTACCACCTGGCTACTTTTGTTTTGCTGATGAAGATACCAATCTGCCACCCAGAGATGGCGTCACCATTTGAAGAATATTTTCAGCATCCAGAAGACATCACAGTGAGTATTAAGTAACTCTGGAAAACCTAATACACCATCTAAATTTAGTGCCCAGCTCACTTGATACAGAGAGTGCTATGTTTCTGGTGCCCTTGCTCTGAATCAAGCTGGAAGACAGTGGGCTTCCAAAATAAATAACAACAGCCAGCCCTCCAATAAGCAGGGAATGGAAAACTCTGTTAACCAGGTATCCAGCAAGTACGTAATACTGTATACAGAGCCATCTACATGTGCTACTTTTTCTTTACTGCATTTGCCTCACAGTACACAGTATTTCCATGGCCCTCAAGGATGCTCATTTGGGTTTAACCAGTAGAGGTCGCTTCTGGACAAATCAAAGCAGGCTCAGTGCCTCATTCCCATTTCCTCTACTTACATTCAAATTCAAAATAAGAGCTGCTGAGGTTTCAGCCTGCCTGCCACGCCCTGATCTAGTTTTTGCCAGTGTCTCGGAAGGGACTGGCTGGGATTATTCCCAGAGAGGTAGAAAGTAAAATATTAGTCTGGAATTTTAGTAAACATTTTAAGCACAGAATATATGACACACACAATATATTATTGTGTATTGGAAGTACTGTGTGGGAAGGTTAATATGCTGAGTTCATACAAGGCTATGATTCTGTGCATTTGGTACGACTTTTTTTTGTCCTTTCCTTTAAAAAAAAGATTTAAAGACACTATGAGACTTTTCTTTTTACATATGATAACGCATTTTCGAGCCCTTCTCACTCCCTTCAAAAAGTTGGGTCAGAGCTAGTGGTTGGCATCATGTAACAGTAACTGCATAAAGTCCATTCTCTGGGGTGGCTGATGAAATGCCCCTTTAGGTCTTATTAGGAAGAAAAGCAGGCCCATGTTGTCAAGGTGGAGGCAGCTGTTCCTCTGGTTGCTAGGAGATGTAGGTCCCATCATGAGAACAAGCCCAAATCCCAGAGAAGAGGTAATTAAATGGCCTGGCATAAAGACATGAGAAATAAAAGTGCAGTAGGAGATCCACACCGACAGGCACCCCCCACAACCTCTTCTAGCCCAGTCTTTATGCAACTCAGTTGTGACCACCAAAACAGTGGCAACAGTTGCCATAGCAACAGGCATACTATTTCAGATGCTCAGCCCAACAGGGCTAGGATGGCACTTGAACAAGGGAGAGAGAGGAGTGAGTGTGAAGATGCCAGGGGTGGTGGGTTTGTTTAACAGATCCTACTGCTGCTTCTTTCAGCTTCAAGAACCCAGAACTTTGTGAGAACTAGATGCGCTTTGCTGTGGTACCATATCAAGCCTAACACATTAAAAACAGCCTCCTAAATAATCAGGCAGTGTCATTTTTACATGCCTTTGAAGAGCCAGCCTGTTGCCCTTTGGGTCCCTAACTTGCAGGTCTTGATTGTCACAGCTGAATTCTGTTTTCAGCGTCCTTGAGTGAAATATCTGAGTGTATTTGGAGAATACATACTCCTGCACCAGAACTATCTCTGGAGGCAAAAATGTTGAAGCTGAGGCTGTCCTACTTCGGGCACATCACAAGAAGACAGAATTCTCTGGAAAAGAGTATAATGCTGGGAAAGGTGGAAGGCAGCAGGAAAAGAGGAAGACAAAATACAAGATGGACTGACTCCCCAAAGGAAACCACAGCCTTTTGTTTACAAGAGCTAAGCAAGACTGTTCAGGGCAGGACATTTTGGAGATTGCCCATTCATAAGGTTGCCATGAATTGGAGGCAACTTGACGGCACATAATAACAACAGTAACAACAACAACACTATCCTCCAACAGAAACTCCTTCCACACACAAACATACTTGGGATTGCATGTAGGGATTTCCAAGTAGATACAGGCTCACCTCTTCTTTTTTACAAATTGAAGTAACAGTGGAGAAAGCATACAATCCAGATGCTGTGGGACAGCAGCTCCAATCAGTACCTAGGCAACATAATCAGCGTTGAGAAATCTGTAGAGTTGTGGTTCCACAACTTCTGCAGTGCTGCACTTCGCCCATCCCTGTATTGGTCAGAGAGTGAGGCATCAGATGCTGGGAGGCAGCAACAGAAAGAATGACAGTCTATCGCACACCGTGCCTTGCTCCTCCCGGCCTAGCCTCCACGGCCATATGTGTAGCAGAGGAGACTGCTCTGTCACTGTTGCTAAAGAAAGAGCCAAGTGCCAGTCCAGTTGGCGATTGTATATGGAAAAGGAACAGGTTGCCATCTTCATCTCAGGCAGCAAAAAACCCTTTAGGCTCAATCAGCCTCTATATCTCTAGGATTAGGAGGCCTGATCAAAAACAAATTAACTTACAGGCAAGCTTTAGCTATGGTACCATTTAGCTGATAAAGTGGGAGCCTTATTTGCAGTCAGACGTGTTGAACTGTCAGATCTCACACAGAATGGGAAAGAGGGAGACTGATTTTATCTAATTGGCTGATTACCCTTCTTCAGCCTAGAAAGAATGAGGCCAATGCCATAGTGTCACAGAACCCCCAGTATTCTCTTATAAATGTGTCGACTACACAGATTCCCCGTGCCCGAAGGAACTGTTGGAACAGGTAGAAAAACAAAAATCTTTAATTTTCAGGTATTTCACTGAAGGTTCACATACTTCTTTCTGCACTCTCCTTTACCATAAATATTAAAAGAAAGGGGAAGGAAAAGAAAATAATAAATTATTCATAGAAAGAAAAAGAAAAACACACAGCCATCGGCCAAAAGCAACAAAGCTCTTAGTTCAGATATTTTTTGGAAAGAAAAACCAAAGTCAAGTCAAAACCAAGAGAAGATAAAAGAAATATGGAGAATTACGCCTAATTTGAATGTGTTGGTAGAAATGCATACATACCCTCACTCAGAGGGAGCCCTACCATGATGAGGTAAAGATGAGGTAAAGCTGACTGCTGCAAGCAAAGCATCTGGGATGTCTTTGAGGGTGGCCAAGAGGAGGATAGATAGAGTTTACCCATAGGGCACAATCCACTGGAAATTCTTCTGCAGAAGCCTCACTAAAAAGAATGGGAACGGCACAAGTATTGCTCCTGTAGTTCATACTTAATTCAGTGAGGCTGATGCAGGTGAACTTCCTGATGGACCATGTCTCACATTGAGTACCAAGAATGAAAGCTCCATAGGGATGTTTTCCTCCAACCTCAAAATAGTTCAAATCAGTCTCAGTGATTTTCTAATTTACATGCAAGCATAATTCTAATTCTCAGCATGCTGACTGATGGACTGGATGCTGTTAGATATAAAGATCTGAAGACTTTATCTGGCCAGTCAATGCATAATATTATTGCCTTCAAATATATTACCAAGATTTATGATTCAAGTTTTCTAAAACAGAGGCAGGGAAACTTTGGTCCTTTAGATCAGTTGTTCCCAATCTTGGATAAACCATGTGTTCTTAGATTGTAACCCCTAGAAATCCTGGCCAGCACAGCTAGAGGTGAAGGCTTCTGAGAGTTGCAGTCCAAGAACACCTGGATTACCTAAGGTTGGGAACCATTGATCCAGATGTGTTAGACTACAACTTTCACTTTTCTTACGTGCTACCTGGTCTTCTGGGAGTTGTAGCACAAAATGTCTAGATGGCCACAGGTTCTGGGCCACTGCTTTTAAACAGTGCTTTCTTGAAAAAAAAACATGTTCAGAATCTGGAATTCAAATTATCATTTTGTCTCTCACAGTAATCCCTTTCCTTTTCATAGACAGAATTTTTTAAAAAACCCACAAAAAAAGAGAAGAAATCCCACAGTAACAAATATACGACATAGATATTGGTGCTGGTAATTGCTGAGTCTTCAGCACCAAATATCCAGAAGGGAAAAGCTGTGACAGGAGTTTCCTTGGCATCAGTGAAAAGTCTCTGAACTTGACCGGAAATAGAAGCGTGCTGGCGGATGCCCCTGTCCCGAGCAGGTGGAAAAAGAGTTTCTTGGAGAGAGAGAGGTAACAGGACACAACATGGGTGAGCTTGAATAAGAAGAAGTCATATTGGCCGTCTGCCCGCAGTGGCGCCTTCCATGTCTTGCATCTGCCCGAGGCGAGTGATACTGGTATGAGGGGCTTGCAGGGCCGCAGGAGGCAGAACCCCTGCTCTCCTGGAGTTCCAAGGGCTCTGTACACGGAGAAGCATCAGAAGGCAGGGAGTTGGTGAAGGCAGGGAAGTCTATGCTTGATGAGGCCAAGAGGCTGGTGGTCGGCATGGAAACAGAGGCCTGAGAGGAAGGCAGTCTGCTGACAGGACGTGAGGAGGGAGAGGTTTGGCCATAGTTGTGGGAACAAGCTGAAGCAGGGAGGTAGGAAGATTGAGCAGCAAGCTGACTTTGGAGGAGGCTCATCAGCTGCTGCAAGTCCTTGCTGAGTTGGGAAACTTCCCGGTTCAGATTGTTGATCTGGGGGAGCAAGGGGGGGAGAGTAAGTAAAGAAAGGATACCTAGCATTTATGTACCATTTTTAGAGTCTTGCAGGCAAATTCTCACAGGGTGAGTCTATCCATGTAAGTAACAATTAAACAATCTTCACATGACACACACCTTCCCTCTTCCTTTGGCCAAGTAAAATGGATACTACCCTCCTCCCATTTCAGGGAATTCCTGAAATGAAGATGTAATATATTAAGGAGGAGTGGGGGAACCCTTGGCAGATTCCAAATGTTTGGAACTTCAGTTCCCATGAGCCCCATCCAGTATGGGCTTTGTTTTGGGGGTCATAAACAGCTGAAACAATAACAATTTCCCATTTCAGTCTAATGTAGTACTATGTGTTAATGAAAAACACCTCTGAGCACGTATAACCTGACTTTCACACCCAATGAACAACTACAGGTTGTCCTGTAGACATGGAACTTCTTTTTGGGACCAATGGACAAGTAGCTCAACAAGATCTTTTGAAAAATTAAGCACTGCCACCATCACACTTGCCTTAACCATATTTGAAAAAGGCAATCTTCAAATATGGTTAAGATGACAATTTGGGATAATGGTAGAATTTTAAAAATTTATTGTGGACAAAGATAGTACCATATCCCTGCTAAACCTTTAGGTATAAGCACTTTCCATCATTCTTAAATATGCCAATGGAATAAAATTTCACACAACTTTTTCACTGCATGTACATTGCCCATTTCCCCCGGTGCCTCACCAGTCTTAATTCCACCAGATATCAGGGAGATATGGAGGAACAGACCACCATAGAGCAATTATACCAAAGGTAGCCATCCTCTGATGCCAACAAAATGGCAAATTAAATTCATTTCAATTCATCATGCTAAAAATTGCCAACATTTGCAAAATTCTTCATATTCAGGATAAAAAAGGATTTAAGAGTTTTTTAAAAAGGAGAATGTGGCAAACAAGAGCAAATATCTTAATGGTTTTGCACTTAACATTGTAGGATTTAAATCCAGTAATTTTGTTGTGGAATTAAAGATGCCACTTCTCTCTCTCTTTTTATCACAGCCTCCACATCTTGAACAGGTATGATTAACAGCAGTTAAAATCCTCTCCTTGCCAAGAATAGCTATACCAATTTAATGTAGCTAGTACTGATAGTGAGAATTTTATTTCAGTTTGGTTTCAACAAAAATTTAACAAAACCACAATTTCTTTATATTCACGTAGGAAAGAAATTGAGATTTTAACATTTTGAATGAAGAAGAATGCGGAACTGACACAGAGTCCAGCAAGCTATTAATAGAATTATCACTCACATTCAAAATGTATTTGCAAAGAGGCAGATATCTTATTCTGCTGCAGTTAAAAAAGCAAAGAGTCTTGTATCACCTTAAAGACCTTAAAGTCTTGTAGTATTAGTTATGATTGATCACAAAGTCCTCTTGTTCAGATGCATGGAGAGCAATCTTGAAGTTTTGGGTATATATACAGTAGGCAGAACAGAATAAATGGATAACACACTATCAAGAACCAGGATGTTTGTAACTGCCACTGTTAGCAATTCTGCCTTTAAATTAATTCTCACCACATCTGATGTTGCCAGATTAGTAGCATCCCTGAGATTTCAAGGCCAAAGCCTGAGATCAGGGGGCATTTACTTATCATGTCACAGAAGAGAAGGCCCTTCAGCAAAAATTTCCAAAGAGTTCATCATGCGAAACAGACAGATGATGTGGAGACTATATGAGGCCTTCAAAGACCAACAGGTAAAATCCAGCACCAGCAAGTTGATGAAAAAGACAAGGGTGACATGGATAAGATCTAAATGACATTTCCTGAAGCCACCAGAATGAATCTCAAAATGTAGGGGCACAAAGTTGGTACTATCTCATTCCTTGAGATTTCAGGTCCAAAACATGGAGAATGGACCACAAAATCTCTCAGCACCAAAACGTCAGACCTGGCAACCCTAACATCTCATCCTCTACTACTTACCTATCTGAAGCTTCTGATCTGAGGAGGTGAATTGTATCCACATGTTATGATACACCTACTAACCTTCAGCTCTTTGTTGATTTAAAAGGCATGCTGATGAAAGAGTGTTGGGCCTAGACCTCTGCTTTAGCTATCAAGAAGAGAAGGAACTTCAAAAGGGATGGCTGAAGGGGCATGGGAGGATGGTAGTTCTTCTTAGGTTTGGTTCTTTGTAAAAATGGGGGGAGAAATACACCCGGCAGTTTAAGAGGGCAGAGGGGGGAAGAGAAGGAGAAGGAGAGACTGGCTGTGTTGCTATGAAATTGTCACCAGCCCTGTGCTAATTTTAAACCCTGACACCCTGAGTCAGAAACGCCAACACCAGGAATGCACACAAAAATGACTCCCTCACCCTCTTTATTCCTATAGGGGCAGGGAAGAAGCCCAGGCAAACATAAACAGTCATTGGCAATGTGGTAATGTTAAGACAATCTTCTTTTTCCACACCTTCATACATAGGCATGATGAGAGGAAAGAGAAGGAGGAAGTAATTGTATACTTTTCCCATATTGATGTCAAATAGTTAATGAGAAGCTCTGGTCAAACAAACCAGAGTTTAAGTGAAGCACGTTCCTAGCAATGCTGAATTTTTAATTGAAACTGATGCTAGGCTTGGAAGCCTGTTCTAACTGGAAGGCTCCCGATTTCCCAAATAGCTTCTTCTGCCTATTTAGCATTGAAAGGGAAGAAATAGCCTTTGCACCTATCTGGAAACATTTTAATTATTTTATTTATTATTAACAGTATTTTCTAGGGGTGAACCCATGCATGAACAGAGAATGTGCCAGAATTTAGTTCTAGTAGGACCTTCCACAAATTCTTGATATTAAGAGCTGTTTGATGATGGACTTAATTGTCCTAGAAGGTAACAAGCTCTCCTTAAAAGTGTGGATTTCCTGCATTGCCAGGGGATTGAATTCAATAACTTTTGTGGTCCCTTTTAACTTTACAATTCTGTGACTCTGAAAATAAGCTTGGTGTCCTACCTCTTGGTTGAGCCTCCTGATGTTCTGCTTTACCTCATCAGCTTCTGCAGGCAACGTGGGGCTGGCTTGTTCCATCCCTGTGAGAAAATCCAAAAGCGGGGGAGTGGGGCATGAGAAAATGAAAAAAGAAATACCCATAAATTGGCTCCTAACAGTCTTCTAAACTCTAAAGCAATTAATCCCAACTTTGTCTAACTCAGATGTTTTTGGTTTACAACTCCCAGAACACACTCCTCAAGAAACCCCATCCAGTAGAACTAGTGGTGAAGGCTTCTGGGAATTGCAGTCCATGAACATCTGGGTTACCCATGGTTGGGAACCACTGATCTAGAAAATGCTTTCAGTGATAACCCTCCCTATTTGCATCTGTATTTTCTTGGCAGTTTAAGCCTTGACTCATCAGTTCTTTTGATAAATTCAGATGTAGACTGAAGATCTGCTCCCCCACTTTTTGGTTTTTTCCCTTTGCATTTATGCACAAGCCTGTCAAAAATATGTTGAAAATAAGTCTTCTAAACCCTTTGGTCAAAAACATCAACATGGTTGGTCCTTTCAGAATATCCTACCAGGTGGGGAAATGATTTGAGGTTTTAGTTGCTAGTAAAAACATTGCAGGTTTCATTTTTAGTCCAGAACATCTGAGATGGGGATGAAAATTGCCACAGATTTGGAAGGACCCATATGGCAACTGGTACTAGATACTGTGTTCAGTATGAAGAACTGTCACATGGAAATAGCCTCTTAAGTGTACATAATAATAAGTAGATCACAGTTTCTCTTGTGACTATCAGAAAGCTGGGTGGGGGGAGTGAAAACCAGTTGGGTGTTGTGATTAATGTATGGAATTAGAACTGAGGAGACTCAGCTTTAAAGCCCCAGTCAGCCACAAAGCTCTCTACATAATCTTTGTTTTTAGTCTGGCAAGATAAATAGTGACCTTTTTCAGTTTAAAATATGAAATATCAACTTATACCCCATTAAAAAAATTCTTTGAATGTAATCTGGATTCTTCCAATTTGAATTACCATTCCATACAACCTCTCTTCCTCCTCCCACCTCTTACATTCAGCTGGGCAGATCCCAAGAGTCTCATGACCTCCCCACATCCACAGGTGACATCACAGTTGATGTCAGGGGAGTTTGAATTATGCTCACCCCATAGGATCTGGACTTGTTTGGGACAGATAAACAAACAAACAAAAAAAAACCAAGCAGTTTCCAAGTGAAAGGAAATAATCTTGAAGGGATGGTTTAGTTTTCTAATAACATCATGGGATCCATAAATCAATCCAAATCAATGAGCAATCATTATCACCATGACCAACATCATCATTTTAGAATTGCAGAGCTGTAAGGGGCCCTATGGATTACTGAGTCCAGCCCCAATCAGAAGGCATAGTGGGAAATTGAATTCCCAACCTCTGTCTCCACATCTGGATACCCAAACCCCTGAGGTATCAAACAGTTGCATGGAAACACCTCTTTAATAAAAGCAAGTAGGATGCGTGGATGAGCCCCATGTCTCATCTTTAATTATTCCACCTTGGGTTTCCTTGACAAGGTGTTACATTCAAGAGGTAGTTGAACTATCATATCTTAGCTTAACAAGTCAATATACGAACAAACACTTTAGCCACGCTCCTTAATTGTGCAAAAGCAAGCTATGCCTTCATCAGGCAACTCCTGTTTCCTATTTTGTTTGAATAAAGGAATTCTAGCTTATAAGGTCAGAACAATCCAGAATATTAAAAATGCTTTGAGGTTTTTTTAAACTTCCTGACTTGTTCTGTTGTCAACTGGTACAGACAAAATTACAGTAAAATGAAGACTTCCTAGATTGTCTGCTTACCCACAAAGTAGAGAGGAATGGGATTGCACGTGCAGGCAAAAGCTGTGTTCATATCTTAGTTTATTAAAATATCATCCAAATGCCCCAGTGAGTGAGAGTGAGTGAGTGAGAGAGCGAGAAAACTTTATTATGCCTAAATCCTGCTCTTTTTTCACAGAACTCCCAATGGCCTCCCATCTGGATTACTCCATGAGCTAACATACCTCTTAAATTCAGGAGTTTTGCAATGCCAGGCCTCCTCTGGACTTTGCAGGGTTGCCCCCCCCCATACATTTGTCCTGAAAAACACCTCCCCCTGACAATTTGAAGGAAGCAAAAAAAGCTGTGTGCCCTCCTCGGTCCCCAAGGGCCAGACATGGCCCACGAGCCATACTTTGCCCAGCTCTGCTCTAATACAAATGGACGGACCCAGCCCCTCAGTGGTCATGGTTACCTGACACAGGTGGCTCTTGTGCAGAGCTCTGCAGAGGTTGATCCACATTGAAACTAAAGGTTTGTGTCTCCAAGGCTCCACCATCATCTTCAATTCCGTCTACGACTCTGGAGAGGTGGGAAATGATAGCTTTTAGGTTCAAAACCCTATTCTGCTATGAAACCTCACCTACCTCACTAGTTTGTATGAGGGCTAAATGTTGAGGGGAAGAGCACATACACTGCTTTGAGTCCACTAATGGAAATGCTATATGGTCTGGCATATGAAGTCGACAATCAAAATCGCATATTCCTCTTCTCTCACTAATTAATATGGAGAACAATCAGCAGGAAAGCTTCTACCAAACAGGTGATCTTTGGACGTATTAGATAGCAACTGCCATTGGGGAATGCTAAACAAATAAGTTATCCTGCATAAGCTTTAGTGAAATGAAGAAGAGTCACACAGAAGTAGTGCTTCTGTCTTCCACATTATGTACATCTGCCATTTGTTTGAATGTGACTTACATAACACAACGTCAGTATGGACTGTATGGACTGGCTCAAATTAGCTTGTTTATTATGCACATAGAGTGTATTTCAGCTTCTCACCAAGTGGTCAGTTTCGTGGGGCAGACAGTCACTGCAGTACTCCCTATACTCACACTACCAAAACAAATCCTAAAATGGAGGCTACTACTGTATGTTGATCCTATAAACAAGGCAGTTCCAGCAGCTCTCATCTCTACCAGGAGCAATTCTTTTGTTGAACTAATGGGTCTCAAAGCCTTTTCCTGATTTTTCCTACTCAAGACCAAGTCACTCCCCAAATACCATATTTTTCTCTTTGTAATACATCCCCATTTATAAGATGCCCCCACACTTTTCTGCTCAAAAATTAAGAAAACCTAGCTCTGAGTATTCAGCCTCTGGGCTCAGAACGCGTGGACATTATGAGTTCCTGTTGCATCGGAGCCTACAGGCTCCACCTCCAAAGACGTGTGTTCCAGTTGGTTTGTTCAGCATCAGCTGACATCAGTTCCATAAGGCTTGTGATTAGAGGAAGCTGAGTCTCCTGGCTATAGGAAGCTAAGCCTCGTGATTGAAGGAAGCCTGTTTACAGAGGCAAATTATGGGCTGTTTGTTCTTGCCTCAGTTTTGTTCTTGCCTCAGTGTATAAGACACCCTTCAATTTTTAGTGTAATGATTTTAGGGCAAAGTAGAATCTTATACACGGAAAAATACGGTACTTCACATTACAGTGGTGTATTATTGTTTGGAAGATTGAGTTTCCCAGTTTCTTTGGGTGTTGCAACTAAACTTAGAACAGGGAAAACTGTGAGGGTGGTGGCAGATGATGTAATTGCTATGGCTAATAAAATGTTTCATCCCTTTCTCCCTGTGAGAGCTGTCTCCATTATAGCTCATCCTTACCTGGGGCTGAGGTCAGGAGATCCATAGTTCATGAGGGAAGGAATGAGGAGTTTGCCCAGCTTCCGACCACTGGTGTCCTCACTGTCGGAGAAACGTTCCTCCTGGCGGCTTAGCGGAGAGGGGCGACGGCCTCGGCTGCACCGGGCTGGAGACCGACAATTTCTCCGCAGGGCTGAAAATTGGCGCAGGTCATCTCCTAGCAGGCTGCTAAGAGAGCCCTTCCTCACAGGACTGTTGAGGTTGGGCAGCAGGAGTTTGCGACGAGTGATGGTAGCAGGAGAGGGTTGGAAGAAGTCCTCCGGGTCCTCACTGTATTCTTGGATGGAAGGCAGGGGCTTCTCAGGGGCAGCACCACTTTCAGAATGAGACTGGCCAAGAGGAGAGAAGAAAGGCGACAGATCAGTAGAGAAGAAGAAGAAATACTGCTAGCTTTTAGATATTTTGAATACTGTGTTGAGATGCATCTATGGTTTAGCTCTTAATCCTTCTCACTTGTACGAATTAAGACTAAGCCAAGGTACCAGGGTGTAGGCCCATGGAAATCCCTAAATACTTATATGAACAAAACTGAGAACAACACATTCAATGATTTATTCTTCTTTGCACTTAAAGAAAATTTGAGTTCTGACGAAGCATAGGGCTTGTAACTCTTCGCCACAGAAATCTGCCCTGGTTTGGATTTAAAATTTAAAGTTTTCGTTTCAAATATCGGTTAAGTTTCACTTTCACATTTTGACTTTGGATATATCATACCTCAGGATTTCTCACAGTGTCCAGCAAAGTTGCACACATATTACAGCACAACCCTATACATCTCTACTCAGGTGTAAGCTTCAGTGAATTCAGTGCAGGTCAGTCTCAACTAGACATGTAGAGGATTGTAGCTTTAAAAGGAGGAGGGAAACTTGTTTTAAAGGAGAATTACTGCTCCTGGAAGTTTTCAACAGCAACATGTTTCCCATAAAGGAGTAGTATCTATAACTGGAACTATAATGTTGAATATGTGAGTGATACTGTTGCTGGGTCAGCACCATCCTATTCCCTGAGATTTCCTTCCTAACACCTGGAACAAGCAGATGGACCTTGTGAGGTGAGACAGTCCTCACCAGGCTATATGATCCTGCTGCACAAGTCCTGGCGTATATATATAGGAATATATATTCCTAGGACTATATATTGAACCAGGACTATATATATATATATGCCAGGACTTGTGCAGCAGGATCATAAATCCTGGTGAGGACTGTCTTACCTCACAAGGTCCATCTGCTTGTCCCAGATATATCTATATATATCTATATATATCAATATATATCTATATATATATATTGAAAAATCCAGTGGAATGGTTATATATATATATAACCATTCCACTGGATTTTTCAATATCTATACTGTATATATAGATCCACGCTGGCACATCAAAAACCCCGGAGAATGGAGAGATAGAGGAAACGAGCTTGTGCACTTAGACAGACAAACACACACATACACATCCCTTCACACTGAGCCAGAGTGCCTTGGCATCAGCTGGGAATGACTGGAGATGGGTACCCACACTTTAGGGCCCCCTCACACCTAAAATTCAAATGATCTCCTCTAGTGCTGTTCTCTCCAAGATGTATTACCCTTCATAGACAGCTGGAAAATCACAGCAATTCCCTGAGACCTCAGCCAGTGCTCTGAAACTTGGCAGCCTTAGAGAGTGACATATATGGGAGAATATGGCCAGTATCCCAGACTGTCATTACAATACCCACAAGCACAGTCATTACAATGCTTCCTTTTATAAAAAATATATTGCAGGCGGGGGCACTGAAAAATCCAGTGGAATTGAAAACATTACATTGGGTTTAGGACTATAAATGCTAACGTTGCTTGCAAATTCAAATTAGGAGAATTTACTTTGACCTCCCTCATCACAATCCATTTTGGCTCGAATCAAAACAGATTCCCCCATTGTTTCCACTCAGCTGCACAGCACAAAAGCCAAATTACCTGGGATAAACGTGGGGACCTGGAGAATCGGATAAGTCCCTGAAAAGGAAAAGAATAACACAAGAAAGAAGGGTGGGGGGGAGTCAGTTAGCTTTTGTGCTTTCTTTGATCCCAAAGACTGCCTTTGGCTGCTAGACTGATGACACAGCTGAAAATAGAAGAAAAGATTCCTGATATAATTTTGTTTTATTTTTGTCTTTGGTTCATTTATGATCCCAGCACCTACAGCTTGCAGATCATAGAACTTCCACTTTTCCAGAAGGCAATATGAGGCATTACTTTGGCCGCCACCTTGGCTTCTATTGTGTTACACCACTATTTGTCCCTCAGTAGAATTTAACCACAGGGCATCCTCTAAAAGCCACTGTAAAACAGCAGGGTTCTTGAACTGGTGGTTTTAGCATTAGAGCTGTCATTTATTTTCTTCACCACTAAGATTCCCAACTGCTGGCATGCTGTTTCTCTTTCTCTCTCCCTCCCTTTCACCTTTAGGACCATTATATAGGTAGCCATATGTTGCGGCTATCATCTTAGCTGGCGTCAAGTGACACCATGGGCCAACAGGGCTTCTTTAGATCATATGAAATTGCAACCTTGGGGCTCAAGCTTGAGAGTCTGAGCAGCTCTTGGACTCCTCGTCCATCCTTAACTTCATGGCTGGTCTATGACATTTTGCTGCCTGAGGCAAAGGAGAAGATGGTACCTTCCCCCATTCCTTGGTGACTAGTTGTGGAACACTGTTTCAGCATAGTATGATACAGCCCTCCAAACCTCAAGGCAAACAAGGCTTGACCTGGCAAGAGGGCAAAAGGCAGGAGGTCTGAAAAAAAAAAACATTTTGCCACCAGACAGAACAACTGGGAGGCTGCAAATGTGGCCACTAGCCTTTGCTGCCAGTGATGAATACCTCACTCTGTCAAACAATATGTCTGGTCTTGTTTGACTCCCTTCTTTTCATTCATTACAGTCAGTGAATTAAATTCTGGTTCTGGATTCCTAATATTTTCCTCACCAAGCAGCAGTGTTCCCGTCTGCTTGTCTGTGATTTCATCTTCCAGTTCCCTTCTTCAGAAGGGCTTCTAGTTTGACAAAAGACTGACCATTCTGTCAGCCTACACAGCTCACAGAGCTACAGTTTCCAGAAGAGCTATAGTGCTTCAACCCAGAACGATGAAGTGATTATGAAGCCAGTTTTGTAACTGAGTTATCTTCAGTCTTACACAGCAGTGACAGAAAACCTAAATACTGAGATGAGATGCAAAGTTTGGTGCAGCTTCATGCAAATCTTGGCCTACATTGCAAACTCTTCCCACTTTACTTCTGATTCCACCTCCTTTTTACTCTTGCCTTACCCATCATGAGTTGGTAATTTGTGACAGGTAAGTCCCAAGAGAATGAATCTCTTGACTGAAGGAAAGGTTTCCTACCTCTAAAGTAGAATGAGTACACACAGAGCAGTAGAGGAAACACTGATGGAGTTTTTACAATCTTGCATGCTGTCTTTAGTAGATATGGTTGGGAGGGACCTTTCTGAGTTGGGGTAATTGTCAGTTTTCTCAGCCCTAACTAATAGTTCCTTCCTGCCTCTGAATTAAAAGAGAACCCTGCCTCTCTGCAAAGACTTACTTCCCGTCTCTTGTTGGAAGCAATTTGTTCTTAATTTGATGGTTGTTGTGGGTTTTTCAGGCTCTTTGGCCATGTTCTGAAGGTTGTTCTTCCTGACGTTTCACCAACACATCTATTTATCTATCTGTAAATTTACAGTTGTGAATGGATCATCAACAAATTAAGAACAATGTATTCTCAAAGGCTTTCATGGCCGGGATCTGATGGTTGTTGCGGGTTTTTCGGGCTCTTGGGCTCTTTGGTCATGTTCTGAAGGTTGTTCTTCCTGACATTTCACCAGTTTCTGTGGCCGGCATCTTCAGAGGACTGGAGTAGGAACTCTGTCCATGCTCTGTGCATGGACGTGCAAGCATGGGCAGAGTTCCTACTCCAGTCCTCTGAAGATGCCGGCCACAGAAACTGGTGAAACGTCAGGAAGAACAACCTTCAGAACGCGGCCAAAGAGCCCAAAAAACCCATAACAACCATCAGATCCCGGCCATGAAAGCCTTTGAGAATACATTGTTCTTAATTTGTTGTTGATCCATTCACAACTGTAAATAAATAGATTTTAAAAATTCTTTCTACTACTAATGTCTCAGAGTGAGTTTATGAGACTGTTAGTGCCAGTTAATAAGAAAGGAGTGGACTATCTGGGGAACCTGAAGCTATTCTCCTCTGTAAGTCTCTGTACTTCCATTGCATAGCACAAGGAATTTTAGCAGAAATTCAAAACTCTGCAACAAACACTGTAGTGTTAGGCTTCCCTTCCCTTTCCCTCCCTTTTGTGTTCCTTATGTAGAAAACTCCAGTGCAAGTATACTGAACATGTGTAGACTGCAGCAAAGTCTACTGCTACCATGCCCATCCCCTATTCCCTGCCTATAGTCATCCTCCCTAAAACGTATGGCTGAATAGAGTTTCTACAGCAAAGGCATATTCTTACCCATTGCAGAGTTTGCAAACCACCCAGAGTGGCCTTGGTAGCCAGATGGGCGGTCTGCAAATCAAATAAATCAAATAACAATAAAATAAATTGCAAATTGTCAGGTTCTATCTTATAATCTTCAGGATTTTCACTCCTGCCTAAAAAATCTTTCATGACAAAATATTTTAACCGAGGAATAAGTAAATTTATTTTAATTTTATTTACATATTTTTGCATTGTAAAATTATGCCAAAGCAGTCACACTATATTACTCTCCCTGTATCTGTCCACTGTATCACCACATCAGACTAGCTGAGGGTCAGACAAATTTCCATGTCGAACTACATCAACATTTTAGGAAGGGAGAGGGGGAGAAGAAAGTTCAAGGGGGCTCTTGACACAAAGTGGGTCACTGTGATGCCAAGTGGGAACAGCGAGGTATGTCTAGGAAGATGGGGATGGAGGGAAGATAGCAGGACTGGGTTGGGACAGACGACCTTTCACCTCTAGGTCACTGGCTCGAATGTAGCCCAGGCCGGTAGCGCCCAAAGCATGTTACCATCCGACGGCTGTTGGAGAGCTTACGGGTTACTGGCTGCTCACGCTCTTGGTCCTAGTGGACAAAAACCACCATCACAATCAGCGGGAGATTGGGCAAGTCCTGCCCGGGGGGAGGGGAATAGGGAGGGGACTGTAGACAAAGGAGGATATGGAGTGGAGGGGAAATGGGAGAGGCAATGACATAAATGCTCAGGTCCCTCCTTTGGGAAAGGCCAGATGACTCTGGAAGAACTGCAGCAGGAACCGTAACCACCAGCCATTCTCCCTACCAGTTGTCTGAAAGGGTTGCATCACTCTGCATAATAGTAGGGCCGGCCCTCAATGCACAGACTGTCCTGCTGCCAGAAAGGAGGTTTCTAGATACAGGGAATAGTCATACTCTGTGAGATTGTGGGAGTTGTCTGCAGAAAGCAGGTTCTTCAAGCTCTGTTTTTTACCTTCTGTTTAATGAGTGCTACCACCTTGAATTAAGCATACTCTGTGAGATTGTGGGAGTTGTCTGTAGAAAGCAGTTTCTTCAAGCTCTGTTTTTTACCTTATGTTTAATGAGTGCTGCCACCTTGAATTAAGGTGGCTATTTTAATTCGGGGGGGGGGGGGTAGTAAGACCTCAACCTGCAGGCAGTACTTAAACATGCTCTGCAAACAGTAGAGTTTTGTGCTATGTTTTAGCTATGGAAGAGGCTGCAATTACAAGTCTGAGACTTAATGAGGGGCCTACACTGCAATTCTGTTCATTTTGAGCTGTGTATCATTTTGTTGCAGTCTGTATCGACTGTGCATAAACATTTTTATGTGTTTGATTTAACTGGTCTGAAGAATAGATTCTGTTCCAGTTAATTGTGAGAGCTATTCAGCCCAATCTGTGATTGCCAGAAAATCCTACTCTTCCTGCCCCTCACTTCTCAGATTTTATCATTATTCAGACATTTTCAAGCCCCTTTTTGCAGTTTTAAAGGGCTGAAACATGTTCTTAAAAATAAAAGTGAGCGGAGATAGTACAGAATGTTGAATTGTATGTTCAAATTCTGCACTTGTATGAGACCCTGGAGTAGATATGCCGCTTCACTCAGAACACACCCGGTTAAATTTTACTGCTACATCTGCCTAACCTACAAAATTTGTGATCTACTTCACCAGCAACCAGTGCTGGTCCAAGGCATCTTCCTGAAATGGAGACCAAACGTCCACTCCCTTCCTTTTCTCAGAAGGCGACTGGCTGGCTGCATTCATACCAGAGAGGTATACCACTACTACAACAATCTTGCCATGTGTTTGACACTCTTGCCTCTGGAAGAAATTGATTGGATAAGGGAAACAACATTTTGTCAGAGGTGAAGGTGATATGTAATGGACTGTGAAAATCCTGCAATGTGTGTTTGAATCGGGATGAGAGAAGGTGGGGGGAGGAATGAAGGTGTGAATGTGCCAGGAATAAATGCCTCTGTGTAATATCCTCTTAAAATGGTCATCTGACTCCATGTGAAGGCCACCTATAGCTTCTCCACTTAAGAAATGGATAACAGTTGGGGAAGGGATGCAAGGGAGAGAAGTCGTTTTCTCTACTTGGATAAGGGCGTAAGATATGATGGTAGACAGGCTTTGATTGCATCACAGAGGACTGGGAACATGGATTCTAATGGTGATGGTGAGTTTAGTGAAAGAGGCTGGGAAAGTCAGGAGGGTTTATCTCACAGCTTGGAAAAGTTACAATTTTTGGACTATAAGAACACGCCAGCCAGAATCATGGCCGTTGGCCATGTTGACAGGAGTGTGTGTGTCTAACAGTTGTTGTCTGAAAGAGCAACTTTTCCAGTCATTGATTTGCCTTTGCTGGAATTGGCTGTGTGTGTGTGTGTGTGTGTGTGCCTAACAGTTGTCATCTGAAAGAGCAACTTTTCCAGTCATTGGTTTGCCTTTGCTGGGATTGGCCCTGTGAGGATGAATAACTCCAGATACAAAGGGACATTGGAAGGGATGGATGGATGTCAACATCACCAGCAATGCACATCTATCTACCTCAATCTCACTCCCCTCACGTAGGTTGAAGGTGAGGTCCTGATGAATGTCTGCCATGAACTTGGCAGAATATTCAGGGTACAACTCCAGCACCTCAAAGAGCCCACGCAGGCTGATGTATTGGAGATCGCAGTAGGTGAGTGCTTTGACATCGGCATTGGTCTTGATGACTTGGTCTTTGCTGGGCAGGTCAGCACCGATGAGGTCCCCTTTACCTACAGACATTGAGATGTGAGACGTGCATGAATGGAATCAGATCAGAAACAGAGGCAACTGTCAAAGGTATCTGAATTAGCACTGTCAAAGGTATCTGAATTAGCGTCTAGGGCAAAACTACAAAACCTGTTCATTCCAAAGGTTCAGATGGTCCAGGCTGGGAAACTGGATGTTCCCTGCTTTCACTGTGTGGGGCCACTGTTCAAAGTAGATGGAACCAGTGTCCAAAGTGTGTGGGGCTACTGGTGGCATGTACAAGCCCTGATATTTTCAGAATTCATACACTATCGCTCCTGGAAGTCTAGCAGGAATTCCCCCCCAGCTATACTTCTGAGGATTTCAAATGATAAATGAAAGTCCTGATAGGTATTTTCAAGTTCTTAAGCTAATGAATTCAGACTCCAGCAGGCATGTTCATCCTGTGGAGGTGATGGACAGACAGGGCTAAGATCAGTGGGAGGTATAAGGGATTATGGACCTGGTAGAGTGTTTTGTTTGTTTGTTTTGAAGGCTTCTTGTGTAGAATCTAATAGGCAGAGATTAATATACCCATAATTCCTTGCAACATTCACAGAGTTTAACCTTGTCCACTCATTTCCCCTACCTTCTCGACAGGATGAAAATAGCTGCCCCAGTCTGGTTGTATTAGCTTAAGAACCTGAAAACACCTGTCAAGATTTTGTTTTCTTGGCTAAAGCCCCAAGAAGTTTGGCTGGGGGAATTCCTGAAGACTTCTGGCGGTTGTAGTCCACAAATTCAAAAAAATCCTATACCTAGCAGGTATCTTTCCATTCTCATAACCTCCCTCTTGTCTGTCTGTCTGTCTGTCTGTCTGTCTGTCTGTCTGTCTGTCTCTCTCTCTCTCACACACACACACACACACACACATCCCCACACAATGTATTCTAGAGTTCGGCAAATTTACTGTTTTGAATCACAATTACTAGAATGCCCCAGCCAATATGGCCACTGGAATTCTGGGAGCTGTGGGGGGGGGGTAGGTGGGGAGAGAGGTAATATTTCTCAGTTTTATAGTTTGCTTCCTGCTCTTATGGTGCCTTACCTAAAATAGCCAACACGATGTTGTCCTTTAAGACTTCAAGGGAACCTGAGCAGACAAAGTAATGTGCTTGCAAGGCGTCCCCCTGGCGGAGCAAGTATTCGCCAGGAGCGCAGAAGGAGGTCTTGATGTGGAGGGATAAGGCTCGCAGGCAGCCGCGGCTTGCACTCTCAAACAGTGGCAGCTGCAAAATGTCCTTGTTCAGGTGCATAGCAATGTCAGCCCGCAGCTCATCTGGAAAATCACGTAGGAGCTACAGGGAAAGGAAAAGAAAGAAGCGTTTGCATGGGCTTTGGGGCAATGTGAGTCCCCCACCATTTTTCTACAACTTTAACTGGTGCCACTGTTATATATTCAGACTTGTTGGTTACATGTCTTCTCCTCAGAGTCTGGCTCCATGTAAGAGCCAGAGATGCAGACCTTAAGATTCAGGGGGTGGAGCCTGAGAAATGTGGGATAGATCCAAGAGTATTGCTAGACTTCCGGAAGTTTCTCTGCACTACACAGTTAAAGCAGTTTGATGCCACTTTTAACAGTTTTGGTTCTATCCTACAGAATCCTGGGATTTTTAATTTGGTGAAGAGTTTTCAATCCTGCGCTGTAGCTTATGTAGCAATACTAGTGTTCTTTAACAGGATGTTCTAAGCACTTCATCAAACTACAAATTGCATAGGATCCCATGACCAGTTAAAAGGGGTATCAAACTATGTAACATAGATAACAGTCATGGTGAAAACTAATATCTACTATGTACGCTTGTTTGGAGCCAGGTGCTGGTAGAAGCACAAGCCTGAAAAAGCCAAAAATGCATAAAGCTCTCATGATGTCACCCAGTGGGGATAACACTTTTGATTTTTTTTCCTTTGTTGCCTGTGAAAAAGTAAATAAGCTATTTGCATCTCTAACAGAGTATATTTAGCCTTTCCCCTCTCTGTTGTGCCCCACTCCAAAACTGTTATTAATCCTGCTGAGATGGTCCTAGTGGGCATAGAAGTAATTATATTGCATCTGTATTATTGTTTTTTTCCTATACCATGAGGCTAATAGTAGCATCTGGGTAGTGATTTAAATTGGAGAAGAAGTGTGGACAAAAGAAGTTACAGAACCACCTCTATAGCATCTTTAAAGTTGGAGTGACTGATCATGTCTCCCTCATGATATCGTATCATGACAGTTTTCTTCTTGTGGTGGAAGCTAGATTACTGGGGTGAAGAAATTTCAGCACATCTCCCCCACTCTGGCCACCCTTCATTGGCTATCAGTTCATCTCCGCCTCAACTTCAAGGGTATGATGATAACATTCAAAGCCCTAAATGGTTTAGGACCTCGGTACCTATCAGAATGCCTGCTCCCAGCCAGATCTGCCCATAATACATATTCTTCACAGGCAGGGCGGTTGAGGGCCTTGACCCCAAAGGAGGCCTGGAGAAAAAGAACAAGAAACCAGGCCTTCTCTGCCGTTCCCCCCACCCTCGCCTCTGGAGCAACCTGCCCATTGAAATTTGCCCGGCACTCTCACTGGACAGGTTCAAATGAGCATTGAAGACTTAGCTCTTTTGCCAGACTTTCCCTGATCATTAAGATCTTGGGGGCCCTTTAACCATCCTTTTTGCCATCCTTTTCATCACCCTTTTACCACCTTCATTGCCATCTGTTTTAATTTATCTTGTTGCTGTGAGGGGAGAACAATATAGCATAAATCCCCTCTAAAATTCAATGACTGAGGCAGGACAAATTTTCAATTGAACCCTACCCACCCTTACAACTCTGGTTCAAGGCTGCAGAATGAATCCCAGGTGGGTCATGCCTCCTAAGGAAACGCACAAAATGACACCCCCCCAACTCAACCAGTACCTCGTTGGCATCAATGCCGTTGTTGACAGACCACGTGGTCTGGAAGTACTCTAGCATACGCTGCTTGAGCTGCTGGGGCAAGCGGTGGACACGGATGAAATCCTTGAGATCCTTCATGCGGGTATGATAGAGGGAGCGCCGTGAATACATGCGCTGGATGATGGCAGTCACATTGCCAAAGACCACAGCATGCATCAAAGCTGGGACAGGGAGGAGAAAAAGACATAAGAAGAGCCCCATTGGGTTAGATCACTACCCCAACTAGTTCAGTACATGTATGTTATTGACAAGCTAATAAGAAGGGCCTGAAAGCAACAGCTTTAATAATGTTCTGCAATAGCTAGTGTTCAGAGATAGACAATGACTTAACGTGGAGGACTGATTTATCTGTCCTGGTTAATAGTGGGGATTGACCTACTCTTTCTGAATTTGGGTCTCTCCCTCCATAGAGCATTGTAATAAATTTAGAAGGCAAATATTGAAATTAGCCAGTACCATAAACTGTTCCGTGCTATATATGCAGAAAAAAGGGACACAAATAAATCACACACACACACACACACCCATTTTCTATTCTTTGGGTGTTTTCTCCATGGATTTTCTACTTAGAATTAAGTAGAGTTACCTTCCCTCTAATTGACTTTTCTTTCAAAACTTTCCTGGGCTGAAAACATAGTTGACTGGGGATAAGCAAGTCTGCTTGCCTAGACATGCAGTTTGTGCGTCTGCTTGCTTAGACATACAGTTTTCAAGGAATTGCATGTCTGGAGAGTATGAAGCAGCAGTAGGAGGAAATGCACGTTTTGCCTAAAATGTAATTTGGCCATTCTGAAGATCAGTGATTCCTAATATTGGGTCTCCAGATGTTCCTGGACTAAAACTCCCAGAAGTCTTCAACACTAGCTGTGCTGATCAGAATTTCTGGGTGTTGTAGTTTAAGAACATCTGAGCACCCAAGGCTGGGAAGCACTCCTCTAGATGCTAGTGCCAAACCTTGTAGCTTTTAAAATGTTCCACTTGTTGTAAAAGAAGTGCAGTCCTAGCTGAACTCACCACCAATCAGCATGGTACAGATGGAGAAGATTTTCTCGGCATCCGTGTTCGCACAGACGTTGCCAAAGCCCACACTGGTCAGGCTGCTGAGGGTGAAGTACAGGGAAGCAATGTAAGCACTGCGGATGGATGGTCCACCTACTGAGTTGTTGATGTAAGGGGCTTCTATCCGCTTGCCCAGTTCATGAAGCCAACCTGTGGGATAGAGTGAGGAATCAATCTTTCTGGAATGATCAAGCCTTGGAGAGACTGCATCATGGTCTTAGATTAAGGGACTGAAGTAGACTAGACTGGGTGCAGGGTTGATTCTCCTGACAGGGAGCATCAGAAGCTTTGACAGAGTTGAAGGTTGATGACTCTGATTTTTAAAGGGTCCTAATCTACTACAGGTTTATGTCTCAATTTTACAGAAGCTATTCATGGTACTGAATTTCACACAAATCCCAAGTTCAGCACCTTGGATAGCTCATATAAACTTCAGACTAAATCCTGGAGAGGATTTAAGACCTCCCCCTGCCACAACATCACCACAATCCTACCTTCTTCACTGTCTAGGGCAGCCTTCCTCAATCTGCTAAGCTAAAGATGTTTAGACTACAACTGCCATCATTCTCAACTCCCAACCTATCTGGTCCTGTATAAATTGGCTTGTGCTTTTCCAAACATAGTGACCACCAAATATGTCCCTGTACATCATCTCAACATGCAGCTAGGAATAACTTCAGTATATCATTACGTTTTCAACTTCCGAAAAGAAAATTTCCTGCATCCAAAGTGATCAAAGGTATCAACATATTTCCCCCATGCTTGCTGCCTTGCATTGGCTGCCCATTCATTTCTGCATTGATTTCAAAGTTCTTATGATTACATATAAAGCCCTAAATGGTTTAGGACCTTGATATCTGGCAGAGCGCCTTCTCCCACCCAGTTCTGCCAGAGTCACACATTCCAGCCAGGCCGGGCAGTTGTGTGGCCTAACACCGAGGAAGGTCTGAAAGGAAAGAACAAGGAACAGGGCTTCTCAGCAGTGGCCCCTCGGCTTTGGAACAACCTGACTCCCTCTCTGGGTGTTTTCATAAAACCTGGCTATTTGGGCAGACTTCGTGTGATACCATCTCTGGGGTGGGTCAGACGAACTTCACAACTTTTTTAGGATCATTGGAGCAAATCCTCCCCCACCCTTCCAGCTCTAAAATCAGGAAACCAGTCAAGCACTGGTTGGCAGCTGTGTTTTGAAGATCAATAAATAAATAAATAAATAAAAATCTCATGCTGCCCTAAAAATGTAGCCTTTGTCTGTACCCTAGGACTTGCTCAGACCCCCTTTGCTTTAGTCTGGCTGTCAATTGTAAGAAGCGCTGAATATAATCCTAGTCATTATCTCTGTCTCAGGATTTCTGTGATGCATGCTTCCCAGTTATTCTCTAAGCTCACCAATGTCCCAGGTCACTGGATCGTTGCTCTCCTGCCGGCCAATGACATACCAGATGCAAGCCATCCAGTGGGCCAACAAGGCAAACATGGACATGAGTAAAGTCAGAACCATAGCGCTGTATTGAGAGTAGCGGTCCAGCTTCTGGAGGAGGCGTAGCAAGCGCAGGAGACGTACCGTCTTCAACAGATGCACCAGGTAGGTCTTGGAAAGGAAGAGAGAGCAAGTAAATATGTATCTATTTATTTCAGGTCATTTAGATCCTGCCTTTGTCCCAAGTGAGATATGCAAGACAGCTTACAAATGGGGGTGGGGTGGCAGATACAAAAATTAAAATATTCAGAATGTGGTTAAACATGTAATAACTCTAAAACACCAGCAGGCTCAAAATAATTTAAAAACAAAAAAGAGACACATTAAAAAGTTTTCAAAAAGTACAACTCCCTCATGTCCACTGCCTTGAGGTCAAGAAGGAAAGATGGCATGTAAGTGTGAACAATAAAATTCAAGAGCCATGTAAAGTCTGCAGCATTTAAATCAGAGACGTTGGCCTCTGAATCTGGGATCTTAATTTGCAAAGCATATATTCTACCACTGTGCTATATAGCCAAGATGAGAAATTGAGGACTAGGATACTGAACCCCAATATTAATGTCAAATGAGCCATTTGTGGTTAAAACAGAGCCCAGATACCAGCATTCTTCTGCCCTACTATGCTGGTTAATATCATAATTTCCAATCAAAATTCTGCTTCAAATCACATTCAGGAGCCCTTGATACCAATGTGAAGATACTGTAACTAGTAGTATAGTGGTACGTTTTGAGATGCAGCCATCTACCACAACAGTTCTCACAGCCATGCCTCCAAGGAAAGGCTAAAAATGTCAACAGATGTGTTGATCCATCTCAACAGGCAAACTCTAGCAGTTTTAATATCCACTAGAAGCAGATTTTTTATAAAGCTAATAAGTCTCAACTGAGCACTGATGACTAAACCACCCCAAAATATGTACAATGATATATTCTTTTAGGGAGGGGGGAAAACTATTTTCCCACTCCCACAAATATTGAGAAATACAGTCTGGCAAGGAGTAAAGTGAAACTCAGAGCCATGCTGCTGAAGAATTCTATTTACTGTGGTCCTAAAAGTAATCTATTTAAGCTCTATAGCAGAGAAACATGAAACAATCACTTGCAATACTGCCCTCTCATTCAAACCTGCACTGTTGCAGGTCTGAGGCCAGGTCACTGCTGTTTTGAAAGGCAAGGGGAAATCTGACGTGATTTAATTGGGAAGCAACTCCAAATGACTCCCATTTGCTCCATGAAACATCGGGAAGGAGGACTGTCTGAAAAGCAACCTCATTAGTAAAGTGACTGTGTCAAAGGCTGGAACCTGATGACATCATGACACCCTCCATCAAACTGCCTAATGAGACCCCCAGGGAGATGGAAAATAAGAACTCACGGGGCCTCTACTGATAAAAAGGAACATAACTTTACTGCTGGCGAAAAAGCGTGGTACTGAACCAGGAAAGAACAGGTCTGATTCTATTAGAATCAAAACAATCTGGATCTAATCTGGAATTCAGGTAAATTCATGTGGGAATTTGAAGCTAAAATTTCAGATTGTGCACTGCTTAATTTGAAAACATTTTGAGGGATGTAGCTAAATCTGAAATGTTACATTACATCTTTTCTCTATTTAAATACTTTGCCGTGTAGAGCAGCTTATAGCAGTTTATGGAATGAGAACTCTGTATCCAAGTTTTGAGCAAAGAGTAGAAAAGTTACTCTTTCAGATTCCAACTTCCAGAATCCCCCAGCCAGCATAGTCATGGTATATTTTCCAGATTCTGGCTTTGGGACATGTACAGAATCTCCCCTGTTCCAAAGGGGAACCCTTACTATAATTACCATATATAATAATAATAGCTACATTCTCTGAATGCAAATCCTTATACTGTATAGCCTAAATTGCATCACCTATGAATGCAGGCACAAGAACCTGAAACTGCAGACATAGAAAGGAAAAACAGTAACAACAAAGCAGTCTTATAAGTACTGATTATGTCTGACTGCCAGGGAAGGCTGGCTGACTAGGGAACGGAGAACCTGTCAAGAAATGGAGCAGAGCAGAATGTGATAGAAACCAGTGTGGCTGGCTAGAACCTTGAGCCTGCAATGTTAATATTGTTATTTTCACATTATGAGTGGTTTCCTGATCTTGAGGTCAAGTTGTGTACTGTATGTGCTTTTTATGCACAAGTATTGATCTACAGTCACACTATAGCCATCTCCTGCACAGATGTTTGATCTTGGGAGGAAACTGGAACATAAAGAATGGCAATTCTGAATCTCTGGTGTGCATCCTAACAATTGGGAATAAAAAGCAGCATTTCCCAAAGGAAATGTAGTCAAAAGGGGAAGTACCAGAAAATAAGACCTGTGTCTGGCAAAGAGGAACAACTGTTGCTTACACATTCTTTGTGTTTCCTAGGTTCACATCTAAACTAGAGAGCCAACATATCACCATGGCTAGTCTCACTGTTTCAGATAGGATTGCAGGTGGTTTGCCCAGTAATTGAGATTTTTAATATTCCAAGCTAAAGCCCAAAGAAACATACAGTAGCCTTGTCAGACCCTTATATAGAGTTATTTGTGTCCATACATGGCCAAACAAAATTCACCAGAGACCCTGTTTTGGGGTAGCTGCAAAGCTTAACGTCAGATTAAGAGAAGTAATTATGCTGCTTGAGCAGGTGCAAAGTATCCTCCTGCCACAAAATACAGCCTGCCCATGTTTTATGACTAAGAGGTATCATTAAAGCTTCAAGAAAAGTAGCAGTAGATACAGTATAGAGTAGCAGGGTGCCTAAGAGACTGAATTGCAAATCAGAAATTCTTCGCTTCAAACTTCACCTTTCTCATGAATTATTTAGTGTCCATAGGCAAGCCATGTGTTTTCAGCCTTTGTTCCTTATATACAATAACTTGTTGTGCATGGTAATAATGAAGTCAATGTCCAGGTAGGGCTACTTACCAGAGGTTGGAAAATTTACTAGTTTGTTCTGCATTTCACACTGTTAACATTTTGAGGCTGACATCAAATAACAATACTGATCGACCCTTCTAGATTGTTCTAAGAATAGCTGAGGTAAAATAATGCTGAAACCCTGTTATACAACTCTGCACACATAAAGGCCAATTATGTCATCAGCCACAGACATTAATCTTTAAAATTTTCCTAATCACACCCTCCAGATATTCCGAGACTCCCTAACAATCTCTGTGGTGGAGATTTGGGGGCATTAAAGGCTTCCTTCTCCTATTCCAAGGTTTCCAAAGACTTCCCCAGATCCAAAATGAGCCTTAGGGAGCCTCAGAACTTGGGTGTGTGTGTGTGTGTGTGTGTGTGTCAGGGATAGAAAACTTTAAATAAAAGATGAATGTGTAAGGCTGATTAGGTCATCATCCTTTACACACATAAGAGTTGCACAACAGGACTTCAATCTATGTGAATTGCTATATAAATGGAATGTGCTAAGTGTTTTTATTCACTAGCCAGTAACCACAGTTTACCTCCCCTTTATCCATTTAGGATAATGTGGCAGCTTTTTATTGTCACAATTTCCCATATATCTGGCACATTACCAGATATATAAAAGCCACTTCATTATCACAGCAATATTCATGCTTGTAGGAACAGAAAGGCTTTGGTTCCTATCAAACCACTTAGGCTTCCCTTTAGAGCATCTCTTTTTGTGAAAAGCAAATGCTTAACAATCCAAGCAAATCAGCAGAGGCTCTTTTTGTTCTAGCTTTAAACTCCTGCTGATACCAAAGGATGGGTGTAAAACAACAGTGGGGCGTGTGCAGGTTGCAAGTCATATGTGATCCCCACAGAGCACGGTGGATAAGCTTGAGTCAGCCATTGCTCAGACTTGTCTACTTCAAAGCCTTGTAAAGGCAAAATGGCAAGGGAGGGACAGCCGTGTGTATTAAGTGCTGTAAGCTCCATAGAAGAAAAGTGGCATAAAAATGTAGTTTTAAAAATATTAAAGTCCGTTCCAAGAGTGTCTATCCTGCGTGGTTTGTGAAGGCCCCCTCCCCTAATATAAAAATCAAGACTTTCTCTCTTAGAAGTCTCCAGGAAGCATGGGTTATGTTAAAATCACACAGCTGCTTCCATACCTTTCAGTGAAAAGAAGGTGGCTTTTAAAAAATTTATTTATGGGATAGAGTTCTGCAGCCGCTAGTGAACCATGGAGGCAAAATTTGCCCTCCAGATCTCTGAGATTCCACACACACAAATACACCCCCCCCTCCAAATGTATAGAGTCACTCACCACTGGAACATTGAAGACATAGAGGAGGTCAAAGGGCAAGGCTGCAATTAAGTCCACAAAGAACCAGGTAGCCACATAGTGGAGGCAGATGGAACGGGTGTCATAAATCACTTGGCCCGACTGACTCACATACGTGGTCCGGAAGTTCAAGATAATGTCTGCCAAGAGAGAAAAGGCAGTATGTTCACACACTCTGCAAATGTCCTTCCTCACCAATTACTCTTTTCTTGCAACATCACTAATGCTAAGGCTGCATATTCCCCTAGAAAATGATATGATGTGCACAGAGAGAGAGAGAGATCCATGTCAAACTATGTATTCTATTTCACTCCTTAATCAGACAATATCAGATTGGGTGGAACCAGTACTGAAGATCCACTCTTAACTCTCCAATCTCCAGCATATCTTTGGAACATTCACAAGCAGGGGAAATTGAGAATCACCCTCTATGATTATGTCTTTCTAGTATCTAGTAGTCACAGTCAGTGGTGTTGTTAGACAATTTTAGTCTGCAGTCTTAGTGTTTTTATGTCCCCCTTTCACAATCTTCAGATTGCAATATGTATTACCTTGTTTATCCCAAAATTAGGTAATCCATCCTTTCTGATGTATTTGGGTGTTTTTTTTACCCCCTAAGCTCCCAAGCAAGCAAACATCTCATGTTTCATTTACCACCTTAAAACACGTCTATTTGCTCCAAACAAAATCTAAAGCATTTGGCAATGGAATTAAAATTGATGACTATGATGAAGAAAAAATAAACTTATGCAATAAGACTATAATATGCAACTCCTGCTTGTCTGTGATGTACCTCCTCAGGGCTGGTGAACATGCGATGCCTGTCAGTCTTAATCGGAATAGATATTACTGTCCTGGAGATGCTGGGCATTGTAGTCCAACAAAGATCTAAAGAGGCACACCATGCCAACCCCCCTATGCCCTATTGCTCCATTTATAGTTAGATAACAGATCTCTTGTCTCTCCCACCACCACCATGCAAACGTACACACCCTTCCACACATACAAAACCCAGAGAAGGCAGTTTGTACTATCCTCACCAACAATGAAAAGCATCTCCACCGCGATATCACTGACAATGGTGCTACGGGCAGCTGCCAAGTTGTCCTCAATGTCGGTAAAGCACACATTGTACGGAACAGTCACGGCTACATAGAATGTGGCTAGGAGAATAAGCCAATCCCACAGGGCTTTGAAGATGCTGTAGTGGAGGAGGATGAAGCGCGACTTCTGTACAGAGGCTACTTTATACTCAGGCACCGAGGGCTTGCTTTCAAAGACATCCTGAGAAGAGCACAGAAACAACAACAACAACAAAACTCTTTCAGAAGAACCCAGGATCATCGTAGGCACCCTTAGCTTCCTTTCAGTGGCCCACAGGGCTAAAAGAATGAGACACATACATGCAGAACTTAGGACAGGGGTTGTTGGGAGACGGGGTGGACCATTTTTCTCACAATCCCACTGCCCAGTTGTCACAGGGCATACCCATGGGATTCTGAGAGCTGGAGTTAAAAAAAAAAAACTTTTCCAAACTCTGTCCACATATAGTGCCAAGACAAAGAATCTCAGATGGATAAGTTAGTCAGAAAAGGTAGTATGGATGAATTTTAAAAATCTAATTTGATTACATTTATATTGAAAGGGGAAGATTTTTAACAACATATGTTAAATTGATATTTAACTGTACTGCATCATTATAATATAACTGCATCATTATAATAAAAGCTTCCTTACAGGTGAAAAAATTCCATCCTTTGTGTCTTTACAGACTAGCTTTCAAATCAAACCCAGAATTTTAAATTAAAATTTACCTGTTAATTTGTGTTTTGCTAAATATCTGCATGCTAATAGGGGATTCCTTATTTATCTTTAAATTCTACATCTCCCTTACCCCATCCCAAAGAAACACAAGTCCATATGTATAGCTGTCCTTCTGTCCACTCTCATCTCTGTGAAGAAGGTCAGGCTGAGAAAGAATAAGTGGCCCAAAAGTACCCAGTGAGCTTCATGGCTCTGTGGAGACGACAACTCAGATCTTCCAATGCCAAGTCTTATATTCAAGCCAGTACATTGCAGTGACTCTTGTCTTGGGACTGAAAATGATTACTTTGGTAAACACAATACCCCCTTCCACGAAGTCTTTGGATTTCATTTCAAAAGAAGCAGCCCTATTAGTCTGTTGCAATATGCTAGCAAAAGAAAACGGAGGTGGGGGTGGGGTAAAACATGGTAGGTAAAGGTAAAGGTTCCCCTTGACATTTAGTCAGTCATGTCCGACTCTAGGGGGCGGTGCTCATCCTTGTTTCCAAGCCGTAGAGCCAGCGTTTGTCCATAGGCAGTTTCCGTTGTCACATGGCCAGCGCGGCTATACATGGAACGCTGTTTACCTTCCCACCGAGGTGGTACCTATTTACCTACTCGCATTTTTACATGCTTTCAAACTGCTAGGTTGGCGAGGAGCTGGGACAAAGCGATGGGAGCTCACTCTATCACGTGGATTCGATCTTACGACTGCTGGTCTTCTGACCCTGCAGCACACAAAGGCTTCTGCGGTTTCACCCGCATGGTAGCTCTTTAAAAATTAACAGTTTTTCTCCACAGTGAGCCTTCATGGATCACAATCCACTTCCTCAGAACCAAAGATTGCAACCTTTCAGTCTTAAACAGCTACTCACACACTCCAGGTCACACAATACAAAGACAGAGAGAGGAACAAGACTTTATCACAAACCTAGATGCCAATTATACCCCCCCTCCACATATCTACAATAGCAGAGCATCAACATAGGCCCCAATAATGGCAGCCACAACATCAGGGGCCTATTTACTTGTCCATCCTATAATGCAATGTATGGCATTTTCTGCTAGTGCTGCCCGTCTGCTATCTACATAAGACAAAATCTCTGCAAAGAATGGAAAGGACCCAAATCTGACATCAGATACGGCAACACAACCAGCTTCAGAACACTTCAGTCTCTCAGATACTCTATTATGGAACTCAAAGGGGTTGTTGTGTGTGTGTGTGTGTGGGGGGAAGAATTGCAAAGAGAGACACATCAAGGAGAAGCAGAAACCGGCTACATAAACAAGCTCCAGTGCATCTCTAAGGGCTTCAGTAGAGATCAGCTACTTAATGCAATCGTACATATATTAATAACCCAGCTTTCTGTGATATCTTGTTGATATGGAACTGCCAGATATCTCAGTGGTTTGGGTATCTGGCTGCAGGGCCAAAGGCTCGGAAATCTGATTCCCCACTGTGTCTCCTTGACATTGGCTGGACTCAATGATCCATAGGGTCCCTTCCAGCTCTGCAGTTTTAAGAAGATGATTTATTATAAAACAGTTATCTCCCTAAACAGACTCTGACCTCTGTCCTGGAAACAGGTCCAAAGATTCAGTCTATCACTTTGGCCAGGACCTGCTAAATGATGTGATTAAGACTTTAGTAATCCCATTCCTACGTTAACCAACCATTGTCACTTTGTCTATTATTTGTATCCTCACCTGGTCATGTTGATATGGATAAATATAGAGGATACCACATTTGTACTCTTTTGAGTCTGAGGAAATGAACTTTGATCTATGGAAAGCTCACACTGATTTTTTTTTTTAGTCTTTAATGTTTTGTCTCCCCACTTGACCTCTGCTCTGACATGACTAGAATTAGACTCTTCCAATCCCAAGCAGCTTCCCCTCACACTTCTTAGAAGACATCCGAATAATTGAATTCTGTTGCTTCTGAGCAGTCTGTGAAGAGTCTTCCTCCTCTGACTGACTTTGCACCCTGCAGCTTCCTTAATTTAAGAGAAAGTACCACCAGAATAAGCACCACCATAATGCTCTTATTTCCTGAATTCTGGAGAAACATTAATTCAAAAATGCAAAATCACTCTCGGTTTTTTTAAAAAGTAAATTAAGTTGCTCTTTTCCATTAGCATATTTCCAGTTTAACGGATTGCTAATTTTTATCAACAGATTTTTAGCAATAGATTTTCAAGATTTTGTAAGGCGGGGTAGGCAATATATGGCCCTCCAGATGTTGCTCAACTGTAAATCCCATCAGCTCTAGCTGCCACAGCTAACAGTGAGCATGATGGGATTTGCAGTCCAACAACATCTGGAGAGTTTGATGTCCTCCTCTCTAGTGTAAAGGTGGCTATCCACCCATTCATCCCCATGAATGCCCCTGAGAATGAAGCTGCGGTATGTCATACCTCCAGGGGTAGCTCTAGTCAGCCAAGCAAGACAAAGTGGCTTGGTTTTTATATTTAAGTAAAAGAAAGATGACAGTGGAAACACCCTCCCAGCTGCTTTGTTTTTAAAAGGCAGGATTTCTTCTTCTTCTTTGAATTTTGTCCACAAAACACCACTGACTACCCCCCTTTGTGCAGTGGCCAGATGGGCCTGGGAAAGGGGAGGGGGAAATCCCCCTCACATACACATGAACAAGTCATATTTATTCTCAGCAGCATGTGGGGCTAAGTCAGCAGAACATCTGTAAGCTACGCTCATTCACTCACACACTCATTCACTCATTTAGCTTTTCAGTAAAAGCTGTCAGAACAAATTATTAAGAGAAGCAAAGCAAAAGCAAAACGTGCTGCTTATATACCGCCCCATAGCGCTTCAAGCACTCTCTGGGCAGTTTACAATTTTAATTATACAGGCTACACATTGCCCCCCCAGCAAGCTGGGTACTCATTTTACCGACCTCAGAAGGATAGAAGGCTGAGTCAACCTTGAGCCGGCTACCTGGGATTTGAACCCCAGGTTGTGAGCACAGTTTTAGCTGCAGTACAGCGGTTTAACCACTGCGCCACGAGGCTCTTAACAATAATAATAATAAGTGTGCATGTGTGTGGCTTTGGTAGTGAGTTTTAATGCAGTCTTAAGTCTGCCACACTTAGGTGCCACTAACATCAGTGGGACAAGTTATTTGAGGTTAATTTTTCAGATTCAATTAACAGGGATCTGAACGAACCTCAATTTATGCTTTAAATATACAGTAGGTGGGAGGCTTTATATATAAGAAATGCCACATGGACTATATCCCCACAATACTACTCAGACTCCATTTTGCCATCATAGAAGCAACTAGGAAGCGGCAACGAACCATCAAAGTAATCTGCAACTACGTCACATGGAAGGGCCAATTTCAATCCCAATATGGAAGATGGGGTGTATTTCAATTTTTAAAGCAAATATGTCTTCCTTCCCCCTTTTCTCTTCCCCCCAACAATCAACACCTTTAAAACTGAAGCAAAGAAAAACTTCAGCCTTCCAGATGTTTTGGACTAGCATTCCCATACCTTTACCATTGCCAATGCTATCCAGGATATTTGGGGACTGAAATCTGAATTATCTGGAAGGGTGAAATATCTGGAAAGCCAAAAGTTGGCTAACTCAGTTTTAAAAGCAACTGCCACCACCATCACCCCCTGTGTTCCTCCTCCTATCAGCTGTCCCAGATTTGGATTTGTGGGTTATGACTGTACTGTTTATCTCTAGTAATCTATGGGTCAAGGCAAGGGGAGTGAAGAAAGGAGAGACAACAATAGATGAGAAGCATCTAGGGATGCCCAAAAGGTGCAATTTGTTCAACTGTAGAGTTCTCAGTACAAAACCTCTTTCCTATCTGTGTGCATATCATCCCACAGCATGTCTTTGAAATGATCTGTAAAATGAGGGCGGAGGGGGGCTTTTCACACCCATCCATGTGACTTCACACTGCTTTTACCCATTGGGATAATCCTCTGCTTTGCCCCTGGGACCACTTTCTTCCTAGCCTCGCCCTCCCTGCCAAAAAAAAAAAAAAAGCTCCTTAACCTGCTCCCCAAGTGTGGATGAGGGTTAGCCGCCATTATCAGCTTAGTGTTAAGTAAGTCTCTGGATTTCCTCATGGCAGGGAAGGGGTTTACCCAGCTTGTAGCTGGAGCAGCTGCTGAGGTTGTTGTTCCTTTGCCCCTGGGACCACTTTCTTCCTAGCCTCGCCCTCCCTGCCAAAAAAAAAAAAAAAGCTCCTTAACCTGCTCCCCAAGTGTGGATGAGGGTTAGCCGCCATTATCAGCTTAGTGTTAAGTAAGTCTCTGGATTTCCTCATGGCAGGGAAGGGGTTTACCCAGCTTGTAGCTGGAGCAGCTGCTGAGGTTGTTGTTCAACTGTATCGCTCCCGGCCTCCCCCCCCCCTCCCCTCCCTCTACACCATCACACAGCCTCCCTCCACTATCCTTCCCTCAAAACAGCCCAAAGCCTTTTAATCTGCCTTGGCGTTAGGTCACAGGGCGAACAGCTGTCAAGGCATGAAGAGCAGCAGAGAGAAAGAGGAGAGGTCTCTCTGTTGACAGACAGGGACTCTTCCTTCCAGGGTTGGTTTTCTAGCTGCATCCAGGCGACTAATGCCCACCTCTCCCTAATACATACCAACATATGCCCAATAAGCACACCAAGTCCTCTAGCAAAGTCAAACCATGAGCCGTGGCACAGCTCTAGGACACTGCTATCTAGAAACAGCGCTTAGGACAATTATCATGTTGGACTACACTTTCCAATACTCTCCAAACTTCTAGGGGATTTTGAGAAGTTTCTTCCAGAAATGTCACCATTGCAAACATTGCTAAGAACCAGCAAAGGCATCCAGCTGTTGCTTTCTCCACCAACTAAAATCCACTACAATCAAAAAAGCACTGCTGAAAGGGGTAAATGTGTACCCCTGATATGCACAATTAAAGAAGGAGTGCCAAAATAAGCCAAACTGAATGAACATCCCCCCACCAGCCGGCCTCCTGCACCCTACATTAAGATTGATTAGGCAACAGAGAGAACAAGAATACAACTGGCCACATCTTCTTTGCTTCGAGCAACTCAGTAACAAACCAGCCAATTCCATCCCTAGCATGTCCTGTAAAAGGTGAGCTCAGACTCACCCTCCTTTTGATCCAAGATGAAGAATCCAAGATGAGTCTCAATATGCATTTGTAATCCATCAGAAAGGAGACTCATAACCCATTCTCTAAGGCAGTGGTTGCCAATTTTGGGTCTCCAGATATTCTTGGACTAAAACTCCCAGAAGCCTTCACCATTAGCTATGCTGGCCAGAATTTCTGAGAACATTAGGGGACTCAAGGTTGGCAACGATTGCTCTGAGACTCAATTGTTGGCTCTGGTGGTTTCATGCAGAAGCAGATCTTTGAAATCTTCCAGCTCTTCTCTGCCTAATGATAACCAACTTAGCTCATAGGTTTCATGACTTCTCAGATTGACTCTCCAGCTTGGGAATGCTACTTTTTTGGACTGGGACCTTGTAGGAGCTACAGTCCAAAAAAGTAACTTTCCCAAGATCTATCTGAGCCCCTGCACCCCTTTTTTTATTATGCTTTCTGTCGCTGTCTCTTTCTTCTTACATATGTGCATGTACGTACAAACACATATTTCAAAGCAGAAGCCAACATCTGTGGCCTTGCAGATTTCGGATTCCAGTAATCTCTCACCATTGGCTATGCCATTTTGGACTGATAGGAATTACAATCCAGCAACATCTGAGCCATTGTGGCATAGTGATGTGATGTGGCATAGTGTCAGCCTGAAACTCAGGAGAACTGGGTTCAAATTCTGATTGGCCATAGAAACTCATTGGGGGAATAGCAGTGGCAAACCATTCCTTGAACATCTGACATGCCTTGACAATCTTGTTGGGTTCATCATCAGTTTTAAATGTGTCAATGGCACATAATAACAACTCTGGAGAACCTCAAGTTGTCTCCTGTAGTTTAAACTCTGTACAGAACTCCATATTATTCTGGATGGTACTATGGATGGTTCTCTCTGAGGTGTGCTCCCATGAGATGCCCCTTTCAACCTTGGGACTTCATGATAAACCCTGCTGTATTTTCTCTCCTGGCGGAAACCAACAGATGCTCCTGGGAGTAAAATTTGCAGCCGAAACATGACCTTTGGCAGAGGTTGTGGCTTTAATGACCTTCAAAGCCATGAGCTTAATGCTATTAACATTCTGCAGGCACTGGCCACAGCCCAACCTCATGTCTGTGGGTTCAGCATCTCTGAGGTTGTGCTCTGCTTGCAGAAATCATGTTGGAAATGGCCCACACCAAGAAGAGTTAATCTATGTGACTGTAAAAAGTCTGAAACCCACAAAACTATACACAACTCGGTGGGGGAAGGAGTAGCCCACCAGATGCTGTTGCACTGCAGCTCCCATCAGGCCTAGCCAGCACAATAGTGAAGGGTTATGGGAATAGTTGTCCAATATCATTTAAAAGAGAGGAAGATTGTAAGATCAGACACATCCAGTTCCCTCAGATTTTAGGACCAAGACCTGAGACTGTAGGTAACTGTAGGTGAGCCCAAACTGATTTTGGCCTACTTTGCTCCACTCCCTGTCTTGCCCCAGATGGCACAACAGACCAAACACATGTACTCACTGGCCCTTTCCACAGACACTCCTGGCTTTTTTTCAATGTGCTGATGCTGCACAAATACACATATGGACACCTTTGTACTGAGCCACTGAGCCCTGAGGCTAGCTGGGAATGAGGTGAAGGGAATGGGTGCCCAGATGTGGTTGTTTAAGGCCACCTTACACACAAAAATAAAATGGTCTCCTCCTGAGATATGACTCCCCACCTAGGAAAAATGAAGAACATAGCAAGTCCCTGAGGTAAAGCCAGGCCCATGAAACCTGGAAGCCTTTAGTAGTGAGGCGCATACGCCCCATCTTTTCTTTAAAAAGTGTCAGTGGATCCACAACAGGTGTGACCAAATTTCAGGCAAGTTGCACAAGCTATGCTACAGCTCACTGAGGGTGAATTATTCCATGTATTCTCTCTCACACACTCCATACGTAAGAGGACTTTAGAGCAGAGTTCAGAAAATTACTTTTTGGGGCATTGCAGTTCCCTGATTCCCTCAGTTTGCTTGGCCCAGATGGAAGAACTAACTCTTTGAGGGCAGAAACATATGTTTATAGATAGCCTATAATGAGAGCTACAAACACATTAGTGTTGGAGAGAGGCGAATGAAGCAGTCTTTCAGGTTTGCAAAATCAGATGTCAAAGGTATCCCATGCTTACATACTGTAAACCAATCTCCAAACAAAGCAAGCCAATTGGCATGCCCCCCATGAGAAAAACTCTTGTAGCGATATTTAGACACTTCCATTTGTTAAGGATTTTCCTCTTCTAATTATAAGCTATGCCTTTAGGAAAAAATTTTGAGGGCCCAGCTGGGCTCCAGAAGGTCTGGCAAACAGCTGCGAAGCTGAAAAAGTTAGGCTCATAGTGAACCCCAAATCTCTCCCTCCCCACAAGTAGACTACAGTATTTCTTTACACTGTTGATCTTCATCTCTGTCCGTTCTCTCCTGCTGAATTGCCTCGTGATATGGTGCAGAGCTGTGCGCCCTTGTCTTCTGGCTGCTCGCAGGTGGGAACTCCCTGCCCTCTTACAGCGGTGCTTTTCTGGAAGAGCAAAGAGAGAATGAACAAGAGTCACAACTCTCATTTGAGGAAGTGAACGATGTATGTTTTTGTATAAATTTCTCGAAACAGCCATTCTCTTAACTTTCTGTCCTATCCCTGACCAGATGTCCTGCCATCTTTTCAATTTCTCCTCCCCTTCTTGAAATGCTGACTTTGAAATCCAGTATATGTTTTTTAAAAACTGCTCTTTCTCTCTTAAGAGGAAAGCCTTCTAGCCACCAAAATACACAATAATGCAACTTCCTGGAGGATTCACAAAGTTGTCAACAACAGGACATTTATGAAGAGGACGGGGAGGGGCAAGTGAAGTGAAAGGTCAGTTCAGGAAGAAAAAGAAGGTGAGACACAAAGGGCAATGAGTTACTAATTTTAGAGAAGGGGTGGGCAACTTTGACCTTGCTAATTTTCTGCCCCGGGCCCTTTGAGGATTGCACAGCTGCCAAAAATGCAGCAGCAGCAGCAACAAGAAGTGAAACTAAAGGTGGCTAGAAGTCCATTTACAGTTGAATAAAGGAGTGCAACAGTGTTCAATGGTGCGAGGGTGGCCTGTGACTTACTGAAAAAGCAAATTACTATTGTCAAAGATTGCCAGAAATGGCAACAGTGCCTTCCCCCTACTTCCACCTCCCTAGGATAAGAAAGGGCCAGGAGACTTGGGAACAGCAAATCTCGGTTTTAGAGGCCAATGGGTTTCTGGACAGGCAACTCAAAGTGATGGATAAAAGCACAGGTTTCACTTATTGACATGAGCTAGCCTCAAGGCAAAACATATGAATTAAGATTGGCCTTGTGGGTCCATTGAATCCAATAAATTTTGGAGATCAGGAAACTTGTCAGAAAGCCAAGCTATCCTGATCAAAGAATGACCCATTCTTAAGGCTAGAGTGCATAGGGCTGGACAGTGTAATCTTATGCAAGTTTTATTGATAAATCAGTCCCAGATCAGTTGTTACTCCAACTTTATGGAATCCACAGCTGTTTTCAATTGAAGAAGATCATGTTGCATCACATTCTAATAAAAAAATTAAACCCAATCAAAAATTTTATCCATCCCTCCTTTAAGGCTGTGCTTGACACAGAACTACTTCTGGCCTTCAGGAGAAATATGGTGAGAGGAAATAAAAGCCATAACTTTTTGTACCCCATACTTCTGGATTTTATTTGAAAAGATGCCTATGTAGCCCATGGGGAGATCAATTCTCCCCATGAAAGGATAAGGAGGCACAGTCTGTGTTTATAGGATCCCAAGCATAGACTGACACGTGATTCCACATTTCACAGAAATGTGATTCAATGGAAGGGAAATGTGTGTTTCCCACAAGTCGTGATATATAACTTTCCCAGAGAGGAAGAAGCATGAACAACTTGTGTGCCCTCACCCCAAATTGCCCAAAGGGAGTGGAATGAGCATTTATTGGTGAAGGCATGGACTGCGCCATTCTCCAGATGGGCTATGCAGAACTCCAGTGACGGACGTCACTGGAGCTTCCATGTCTGTTCTTCTACTGAATGTTCCCATTAGCTTCTACCTGAAGACTATTGTAAGGTGTATATCTGGCCCTACATGTTTCTCTGTCACTAAACACGGCCTCATCTCCTGCTAGTTTTGATCCTGTGATTTGCTTGCCAAGCCCAACCCACCTCCCCACGCAAGGCCTCACCATCCTTTTTTTCGGTTGGCTGGCTTGTCTTTCCATGGCTGTCAGTGATGTCCTTGAAAGAGAAGAGGAACAGGACCACCTCGCCTTTCTCATTCTTGATAGGTACGATGTCCAGCAAGCACCAAAAAGGTGTTCCTGCACCCATAGGAAGAAGGAAAGAACAAATGTTCACATCATTTCTGCACCAAAGGGGAGAGGAAAAGACAGTGCTGTATTGATGCATAAATTAAACAAACTACAGTCTAGAGCCTCAGATTATAAGAGGTCTCTAGATAAGACAAGCAAAACCCAAAAACAACACAAATACACAAAAAGAAAACCACGCTGTTAGAATAATGTACATTGGGCGATGTTATATCCTTAATTGGCCCATGATTTATTTAGAATGGGCTCACCATTTTTCATGCTGATCCTCTTGCAGGGAAAAGGCACTCTGTGCATGCACAAAGGGACTCTTTCCATAGATTTGTTTTTTGTATTGTTCTTGAGGCTCCAGTACTTTGGCCATCTAATGAGAAGAAAAGACTCCCTGGAAAAGACCCTGATGTTGGGAAAGTGTGATGGCAAGAGGAGAAGGGGACGACCGAGGATGAGATGGCTGGACAGTGTCTGCGAAGCAACCAACATGAACCTGACACAACTCTGGGAGGCAGTAGAAGACAGGAGGGCCTGGCGTGCTCTGGTCCATGGGGTCACAAAGAGTCGGACACGACTAAACGACTAAACACACACATTGTTCTTGAGGGTGAGAAGGCAACTTCTCCTGCTCAAATGCACCCTGGCATGGTGGCAACATTATAGAGCCATCTTTGTGTTGGCATGGGTTGGACACAGCTGCTATGATAGGAAGCAAATTGGAGCAGCTTTATAAACACATATCGGATGCTTAGATTTGGATGACTAGGAACAATATAGTTCAGTGACAGCTTTAAAAAAGCCACAAAAATTGCTCAACCATCAGACATTGAAAGAGCATCTATTAATACTAGTTAACTGGGTAACAGGTTGGACTCATGTCTTAATCACAGGTAGCTATAAATATCAATAGACAAGCAAAACAAAAAATCAACTTAAAGACAACACCATCACAGTAGAGTAGTCCAGAGAAAAGAATCTGAATATAATCAGTAAAACCAGAGACTAACAGTAACCCCATCAATTTCTTATAAATTTTATTCTCAAGTAGAGGTGGGCAGAAGACAAAATCGGATCAACTGTTAGGTCTCTAGGTGACCTGCAGTAAGCTGGCAAATATTTCTGACACCCAATTGCCTAAAAACAGAAATATTGGAAAGCTCCCCCAACTTCCATTATCTTGTTGTAGAATAAGCTTGGGGTGAACCTGGAGCTGATTTTTGTCTTGAAGGGAATTGTGAGATTGGCTAATCAAAATTTCCTAGCTGAGTGACAGACTTCGGGGCCCTAGTAAAGACCAACAGCCATGAGAACATCAACAATGAAATCCCCCCCCCCAAAAAAAACAAAGTATATCTGATGAATCTGAAGTCTTCCCACTCCCGTTTTACAGACTGGTGGCATTATTGTTTTGCTGATTCAACTTTTTGTCTGTTGTTTTTTCAGAGGCACTTCTGAGGGCATTTGCTGAAACGTGTCAAGTGATTAATTTTTTATTAATATGTTGAATTTTTCTTTGTCAACTGCCTGGAACTAACCTTCTTTTTTTTTCTTTTGGGACTATTTCTGGAGTTAGGTCTCGATTCTCTCCCTCCTCCTTTCCCCCCATCTTCCATTTCAACTTGTCTTTTTGTTCAGATGGCCTTATTTCCAAACACCAAAAGAATAACTAGGTAATATCAAAAAGCAAGAAGCCCAACTTCTCTTCTTCCTCACTCTTCTTCCTTAGCATCATCATCTTAGAACTTCAGAGCTGGAAAGGATCCTGTGGATCATGAAGTCCAGCCATTGTCAACGAAGCCCACTGGGGAATCAAACTTCCAACCTCTGGCTCGACACTAAGATACCTAAGCCTCTAACCTATCCAGCAATTCTTCTTGGCCACCACCATTATCTTCTCATTTTCTTGAGCAGAAAATTGTTGATGTGGTTTTTACAGTATATTGATATTTGTCCCTTGTAATTTGTATTTAAAGGGACGTGGTGGCGATGCGGGCTAAACCGCAGAAGCCTGTGCTGCAGGGTCAGAAGACCAAGCAGTCGTAAGATTGAATCCACGCGACGGAGTGAGCTCCCGTCGCTTGTCCCAGCTCCCGCCAACCTAGCGGTTCGAAAGCATGCAAATGCCAGTAGATAAATAGGGACCACTTCGGTGGGAAGATAACAGCGTTCCGTGTCTAAGTCACACTGGCCATGTGACCACGGAAGATTGTCTTTGGACAAACACTGGCTCTATGGCTTGGAAACGGGGGTGAGCACTGCCCCTAGAGTCGAACACGACTGGACAAAAATTGTCAAGGGGAACCTTTACCTTTACCTTTAATTTGTATTTACACTATTTGAAGTAGCCATAACATTGCAATCTGTGGATTACTATGTGAGCGTGCAGCCTTAGAAATTAAGTAAAAGCCTATTTGATTGCTTAATTGTAAACTGTTGATAGCCTCTTATCAGTCTGTCCCAACCTGTAGCCTCCAGATGGGCAATTTTTATGCTGGTAGGGATGATGGGAGTTGTGATGCCACACATCTGGAGAACACAAGACTGTGTAAGACGGACTTCTAGCATATCAATTGCAAACAAGGCAGGCACCCAAACTGATCCTGCACTTCAGGGGTGCTGAGTCCCATACAAAGGAAAACCACCGCACTGAGAAAACCATGAAGTCACAACTGGGGAGGTCATTTCTGAGAGGCTCATAAAGCCCAGCTATTAAAAGCTTTGTAGGATGATAACAGAAACAACCTAACATCTTAAATTCTGTCCAGGGAAGAAAAGAGGGAGCTGGGTCTAATGATCCTAGAATACAGATGCAACAGCCTCTCCTCACTGTGGAAGTATCTCATTGGACATGTTGTTCTCTCAGGACTAGTAAAAACCCAGGAATCCAGGATCCCTGCAGCATCTGTTATGTGCAACACCAGTAGGTCTGTGCATGCTCTGCACTTTAAACCACTCATTCATTAAGCTATTCTAACTTCTGATCTGTGGACTGGAAATGGTGAGAACAGAATCATGTTATGCCAATGCAAAGCAGCTTTCTCGGAGGAGATGGAAGGTGTTTGCTGCTCTATGGTCCCAATTATGCCCAGAGAAAGCTCAGTGAGTACAAGGCTCTGAAAGAGACATTCCTAGAGCATAGGCAGGGTGGGGGGGCAGGTTTGGATTCAGGTGCACTAGAACTAAGCCCCAGGAAGGCCTCTGGGCTTGGGTCTCCAATCTGTGCCAGTATAACATTGACTGATATACAGATTTTCTTCCCAATGAAATCAGTGGTGTGCAGTGGGGATTTTTTGAGATCCTGCAGGAGGATAGAGAACTGCTCTCCCAACTTGGGCACTTGGGTTCTGCCAGGGTCGGGATGCAGTAGTAGCTGCACACCAGATCTCCCAACAGAGCCACTGCAGGATCGTTCAGCTAATCAACCTATGGCAAGAGAACCAAAGTTGGACAACCTGCCTAAATTATGCAAAGCAAGTTACTATAAATATAATCGCTTGACACGGTTTTGTCTGTTGCTTGCTTTGTTTCTATGGCTGTTGTGCTTTGACTAGTTAACAAGCGCACAGATAGACCTGTTTGGGTTGTCAGAGCCTCAATCCCTTATTGCAAATCGTACTCATCTCAACTTTCATTCCTCAGATTTCACTGAGATTTATGAATATCCCTTTAAGCCTATTTTTGCAGCTTTAAGGATCAGGAAATTGGCTTTCTTTTTAAAAGGGAAAACTAAGATCCATGGAACTCTGCCTTTTGTATCCAGTAACAGGTTTTCCACATGGCAAAATCACAGAGAACACACAGATCCTACCCCCTTGTCCGAACATCTGAATGTTAGAGATGCAGGAGCTATTTGGGTTCTGGTCCCATCAAAAGAGCTTGGTTAGACAGCAGCCTGAACCAGCTACCACCAGATTCCATTCTGAAGTCTGTTGCCCTTGGATGCTACAGAAACCCAATCTAAAGGGGAAGAGAGTTTCCCAGTAGACTCACCTCCCTTTCTGTAGAAGCAGACTTCAGTTTGGTACTCCTGCTTTCCTTCCAGCACTTTCTCGATGCGCTGCAGAACAGCTTCGCTGGTCTCGGAGCCATAGAGGAAGCGGCAGCTGCAATTCTTCTGCATGACTTCTGTCCGGGCAAAGCCAGTGAGGTCACAGAATCCGTCCGAGCAGTAGACAATGGGGAAGCCACGATGCACCTGAGCGTTGGCCAGGAGGAAGTTGCTGTCTGTGAAGAGTAAAGAACAGAGACTTTGGCCTTGAATTATTATGTCATCAATGGGAGATTGAAAAACACCCAGGAACCTAAATGCTGATTGTGCTTTACTGGCCTGTATGTATGGCCCGAGCCCAGCCTGCTTTTGGGTGTGCCTCTTCCTGATGAGCAAATGGGACAAAAATGCCTTTCAGGTGCTGTTGTCTTTTCAGCCGTAAGAATACAGGAAGGTGTGTTATTGAGTGAGCTAGACCAAGGGTCCATCTAGTTCAGAGAGTCTACATGGAACTAGCAGCCACTTGATCAAGTTTCAGATAGAGGCGTTGCCCAGCTCACAGGCACCAAGTACTGAATCCGAGACCTTTTGCATCCAAGCATGTGTTCTGCTACTGAGCTACAACCTTTCTGTAACCCCACCCACTTGCCTTTAGCTATTTCCATTAAGCATCCCAAGGATTCAGGGCCACATTCACTTTGGGATGTAACAGAAGCCAGATACGGATGATACATTCCTGCCCTAAAGAACTAAACTTCTTAAGAAAGAAAGATGGTGTTCATGGTGGTGGTGGGGTACATTTCATCTTACTCTAGTCTTCAGACAAACAGGTTTGTCAGGTTTTTTGTACTTGTTTTCGAAACCTACAAACCTTGTTCAATCACAGGAAAGTTGCGTAAAAGGCATGTATGCACACACAAGTGTGTGTCTGTGTGCACATAGGCAACATAGGGAGGGGGAAAAGGTAGAGGTTCCTCGTGACAATTAAGTCCAAGTGTGTCTGACTCTGGGGCCAGTGCTCATCCTTGTTTGTAAGCTGAAGAGTCAGCGTTTGTCTGTAGACGCTTTCTATGGTCACATGGCCAGTGTGACTAGACATGGAACGCCATTACCTTCTCACTGAGGTGGTACCTATTCATCTACTCGCATTTGCATGCTAGGGTGGCGGGAGCTGGGACAAGCAACAGGAGCTCACCCCGTCACACAGATTCAAACTACCAATCTTTCAATCGACAGCTCAGTGGTTTAACCAGAGGAAAGCTATTTCTAAATTTCTTAGGAGCTACTTCCTGTCTCCAGCCAACTAGGTCATATTACTTAATAAAGAAAATTACCTCTGGGCAGGTATCAAGCAGTGCCTTTGGCTCAGCAAACTTAAACAGCAAAATGTTATTCCAGGATATGTGGAAGGGATCTGCCACACAAAGGCAAGCTTTCCCTCAATGATTGTCTACATGGGTGAGTGGCCACATGGCTGGCTTGGCTACATGAGTAACCTTTAGATGGACTGCTATGCAATACAGTACTGCTCTTTAGTACTACTCATGTTTACCATCTCTCAGAGTGGTATTTGTTTGCTCTTTTTTAGTATTTGTATACTTATTGTTTTAGCTTTAATACTGTCTTTTAATGATGTAGGTTTCATTGTTCTTGGCTTTCAATATTGTATTTTAATTACGTAAATCACTGTTGTATACTCATCATATTCAGCTTTCAAAATGGTCTTTCAAGCATGTAAGCTGCCTTGGGTCCTTTTTAAGGAGAAAGCCAGGGTAACAATATTTTAAATAAATACATAATGAATAAGTGTGGGGTGGAGGTGGGTGGGGTGGGCTGCTATTCCGACAACCCAGTGGCCCTGCTAGCAGGGAGATACCGGGAGTTGTGACCCTATGTTTTTACAGGTTTTGTTCAAAAAGATGCCATCTCTGCATTCCTTTAACAGCACGCTGAGAATAAATGCCAAAGAGTGTTCTGTATATGGTGAAAGTTCACTGCAGTACTCCTGTAACGTTGGTTGCTCACACATGTGTTTCTGCTCCATATGCGAACAGCCACATGATTTTTCTGCAGCCCTCTTCTCCTGATCTGAGTCCCCTTGTCTATGTAGGTTGTGTTTCCACATCATAGGGCTGGAATTCAAGGCTGTTTTTGTTATGTCATATCTCCTTCCTAGTGGAATTCCCTGCTCAGGGAGGCTCCGATGCACCTGTCTGCCTCCTGGAGACATTCTCAAGGCTGTATAAACCCTTTTTGTTTACATCGGGCATTTGGGCTCTCTATCTGATGATGCTGAACATGAGATCCCACTAGGTACAGCTTCATGTTGGGCCATGAAGTTAAAGGTCTTACAAAGGTGGGGAGGGCAGCATTTAGAAAGTCACATGCGAAATTCCAGTTTCAAAGGACACAGCTAATACACAGCACTGCAATTCCATGTTTTACATCAGAAGCTAACAATCTGGAATTTGAATCCAGGTCTCGGGAGTTATACTCCAGCGCTCTAACCATCATACCACGCTGTCAGTGTATATCAAGGACTCGCTCTAAGTAAAAAAAACAATCTTGGGGCAGCATATGGACTGTAAGTCAACTGCTTTATAATTATCTCTACTCCTGATTTTAGAAAGAATTATTTATTGTAGCAGTATCAATGAGCACCACTAAGTCTAACAGTAAAATTAAAAAATAATAATAAAGAGAAAGAAAGGACATGCAGGAAGCAGCATCCACTTCCATGGATATTGATATTATTTGTTTGTTTCATTTATATGCCGCCTTTCTCCTGATAAGGGGAATCAAAGTGGTTCACAATATTAAAAGGAATGGAATTACGTTTACAGTTAAACATTAAAAAAAATTAGACTATCTGCTAATAAAAATAAAATTGAATAATTAAAAACAAGTGAACATTAAGAACTGTCTTAACTCTAAGAAGGCATCCAGGGATTAAATCATGATTGTTAAAAACCCTGCCTGAAAAAATGGCTCTTCAGCTGTTGGTGGGAGGCCAGCCTGAGCTCCTGAGGAAGAGCATTCCACAGCCTTGGAGCTGCCACCGAGAAGGCCCTCTCCTTTGTCCCCATCAGCCATGCCTATGTGAGCAATGGGGCCAATAGGAGGGCCTCCTCTGATGATCTGTCCATTCCATGCCATGTACTGCTCCCAGAGTTGTTTGATTGGTGGAGGTGGGAAGATCTGTGGGGTCCCAGACATGGGCCTCAAGGTCCAGGGATAGAGGCATCACTGCTGGGCCCAGCTTGAGTACACCACACCTTTTCAGCAACCCATGTAATTAAAACAGGTGCCTTGGCAGAACAGAAGGAGTGATCTCTCACTGAAATCATTAGGTCACAGTCCTACAGTAATATGTTCCTATGTTATGGAGGAAAGGGGTTAAGTAGCTAATTACTTCCCAGCTGAGAGCCAAATAAGATGAAAGTGAATAAAGACCAATCTGGACAGAACAATACTGGGTGGGGTTACACCTCCCTGAAAGGAAGAAACAAGCAGTTTGGATAGAGTTGATAGTTATCTCTCCATTTTGCCAAGGACAAGCAAAAGGTCTATTCGGTCTTAAGGTCTATTTGGTCCAAGTATAACTTAGATATCAGGAATGCCCGGTCACAACAAAGGTCTTAAAATGGCTCATCAACATTTTGTCCCAAGACAGAAGGCTGAGCAGACCCTCGGTTTCCCAAGGATGGCAAGATGCATTGCATTTCTATACCGTAATTGTGTTTAAATTGTTATTTAGGTGTGGGCATCAGCCTACGCAAATTTCATGCAAATCCATGTTCTTGTCCTTTGCCCAGATTTCTGCCCTGCTTTGTCTGGCACACCAACTCCTGCCTGTTGTAGGGAATGCTGATCTTGCCGCAGTTGCACTTGCCCTAGTTACGTCAAGAGTAGGCTGCTGCAAAGTACTGTATATGGGGCCACCCACAAAAGGTGTCTGGAAACGTCACTTGGTGCAGAATGCCGTAGGAGGACAGCTGACAGGAGCCTGGGCTTTTGATCTGTTTTAAGTATCAACAACCACACTGTCTCCCTCTTTGCTTCCAGGCCCAATTCAAAGTGCTGGTTGTTATCTTTAAAAATGTTACATCAGCCTCCTCCTCAAAATGGCATCCTCTAGGTGTCTTGGACTGCAATTCCGATGATGGAAACTGTAACCCAAGATCTCTAGAGAGTGCCAGGTTGGGGAAGGCTGCCTTAAAATGCCTGGGACCTTGTTAGAGTGGTATAAATATACTAGATGAGTGGGATATAAATCAAATAAATAAATAAATAAATAAATTATCGGAAGGGCTTCTTCTTCAGCAGCACAAACCTGTTTACACAGAGGGATTGCCAGAGTAGTCCATGCCCCATACCAATCTCAGGATTATGGACGATGGAGGCATAGACTTGTGTCTTCTCTCCAGCAGCACTTAGCTCAGAGTGGGGAAACCTTTGGGGGCTCCATCCCCCATAATTCCTTCCCACTGGGCCATACCAGCTGGGTATGATGGGAGGTGAAGTTCAACTCATCTGGAAAATTTAGGGTTTTTGCATGTAAACTCCCAGAATCCCCCCCCCCCCCCCGACAGCAAGGGGAAGATACAGAAAAATCCCTGCATCAGTTTAGAGATGTTGTATTTGTACCCAATTCAGCCTTCTGGAGAAGAGTCAGCATTCACCAGGATCTTCTCATGCAAAGCTTGGAAAAGTTAGCTTTTTTCCCAGACTATAGTGGCCAGCACCCATGGAAAAAGCATGGCCCCTGGCCAAGGTGTTTTGGAAGCTGTAGTTTAGAGAGATAACTTTTCTGAGCTCCGATCACGGGAGAACTGCTTCTGGTCCCCTTTCGTAATGCTTCCCTGGCTCCATCCCCAAGAATAGATGCTTTGCTCTCCACCATGCCCACAGGGGCTGCATTGTTCTCAGCCTTCCCCTTGATGCAAATGACTCTGGATCTTAAGGCTGACGGTGCAGTTTGCATCCCAGAGACTCAGCAGTCACTAGAACTCAACGTAACCCCCCTCTGTCCCCTCTGGTGGTGGAGACAGAAGTGAGATGTGCTCTAAGCTGACTTGATCTTTGTCAAAAACCTTGAACCAAAATCAAGATAATGAGTGAACTGCCATTAGTGTGTGTGTGTGTGTCCATAGAAGAGGTACTTGCAGGATACTTACTTTCCTTTTCTCTTCATTTTCCTTCCTGGCCAGCTCTACTATCAGGCAGGGTGAAGCAA